AGCCGCGGCGCTGGCAAGACATAGATTTTATAAAGATTTATTTATTTGGAAGGGTTACAGAGAGGCAGAGAGAGAGAGGGGTCTTCCAATGCTGGTTCACTCCCCAAAGGGCCGCAACAGCCGGAGCTAGACTGATCTGAAGCCAGGAGCCAGGAGCTTCTTCCAGGTCTCCCACACAGGTGCAGGGACCCAAGGACTCGGGCCATCTTCCACTGCTTTCCCAGGCCACAGCAGAGAGCTGGATCGGAAGTGGAGCAGCCAGGACTGGAACCGGCACCCATATGGGATGCTGGCACTGCAGGCAGGGCTTTACCCGCTAGGCCACAGCGGGGGGCCCAGTGCCTGTTACATTTTAACAGGTTTCTTTCAGAGGACAGTTCTGTGTGCCCTCTGGTGTCTGGAGAGTGTTTGACTTCTCTGTGCACACACGGATGAGGGTTTCTGTTTTCCTGTAACGCATCTGTTGGCCTGGTGACAGGTACGGCTGATGTCCGCTTCCCCCGCGAGAGTACAGCTTGCCCCTGAGCAGCAGTGGTCCTCAGAGCCCCGCAGAGCCGCAGGGGCTGGCCGCCCTGCACGGTGCTGGCTGCCAGGATGCTTCTTCAGTCTGGTTCACAGATGCCTCGTGGTCTTAGAGGCAAGACCCCCTTTAGGTTCCCCTTTCCCGCTCTTTAAGTGGAACTTAACGATAGCTGTGACTTGAAACAGAAGCCTAGAGTTCCTGTAAATGCTCTGTTTGGGGACTGCGAGGGTCAGGGTGGCGCCTGTGGAACTTCCCTCGGGAGCCAGAAGCCGCAGTGCCCAGAGGTCTGCCTTCTCCGCAGTGGGGCGCAGACCTCACCGCTCGTCCACCAGAGCCGCTGTGGCCTCCCTGCTCCTGAAGGCGGCCCAGAGTGTCCGGACGCTTCCTGCGCCCAGAAGGAAATCCAACCTTGACGCCCTCTCCCCAGGCCTCCGGAAGGTCGCCGCGCTTGCCCGGGGCTGCGGGTGGCCCAGAGCCGCGGCACTTCAGCGAGTGGCGTGGGGGACAGGGCTGAGTCTGGCCTGGACCACCAAGTGGCGTGGGGGACGGGGCTGAGTCTGGCCTGGACGTCGTCCCCACGCTGTGCTGCGTCTCCACGCCCTGCTCCCTGGGAAGCTCTCCTGTGAGATCCCAAGTCCCTCGGAGAGCCCACGCATGTTTCAGAAGCCATTCTTGGCGCTCTACTTGCTGATTTTCGGGTTTTAAAACTCAAATGCTTGCAAAGGCCTTCCCTAGCAAAAGCCAGGAGCCACAGGTTCAGTCGGGGTCTCCCACCTGGGCGGCAGGACCCGTTGGTTGAGCTGTCTCCAGTGCCTGCCAGTGCCTCGTGGGTGGGAGCTGCCATCAGGAGCTGGCACTGCAGTGTGGGATGGGCCTAGGCTAAAAAGCCGTGGCCTGGGCCAGTGCGGTGGCTCACTAGGCTAATCCTCCGCCTGCGGCGCCAGCACCCCAGGTTCTAGTCCCGGTTGGGGCGCCAGATTCTGTCCTGGTTGCTCCTCTTCCAGTCCAGCTCTCTGCTGTGGCCCGGGAGTGCAGTGGAGGATGGTCCAAGTGCTTGGGCCCCTGCACCCGCGTGGGAGACCAGGAGGAAGCACCTGGCTCCTGGCTTTGGATCGGCGCAGCACGCTGGCCGTAGCAGCCATTTGGGGAGTGAACGAACGGAAGGAAGACCTTTCTCTCTGTCTCTCTCTCACTGTCTGTAACTCTACCTGTCAAAAAAAAAAAAAAAGCCCGTGGCCTGACCCTGGGGTTCTGGTGTCTGCCTGGCTCCCGGCCTCACCGGCAGTGAGTGGAGAGGTCCTTGGGCAGTGCTGCAGATGGCGTCGGTGACCACAGCAGAGGAAACACCGTTGATCCATTTCCTGTGGTCTGTCTTTGCACCACACGGGAGTGTGAACTGGCCATCCTTGGCTGTGTTGCTGGGGAGGCCTTTATGACCACCCCTAACTTCCAGGAGCAGAGTTGTCCTGGGAGATCCTCAGAAGGAATTTCTGATGAGCTTTTCACGTTCTCCAAGGTGGTCATTATCCAGGTCAGACCCTGACACACAGCTCACTCGAGCCTGCACCCTGCGTGAGGGAGTTAGGAGGCGCTCACCGCCCTGCGGCCACTGATGCCTGCGGAAGTGACCCTTCTTGAACTCTGGGCTTGGCTTTGCGCGGTAGGTGAGGGGGCCAAGCGCGCTGTGCTGTGAGGAGCTGGGAGTGGCTGCCTGGGGTTCCAGCAATGATGGCGGGGTGGGGGCCCGCCGGTGGCCGGGGTCTCGGACATTCTTCCAGCTTCCAAGTGACTGCAAAGCTCCACAAACAACCTCCTGTCTTTGGAATAGCTTCATAGTGCGCTGGCTTTGAGACATCGTGCTGGGGCCTCTTAAACTGGTGTGACCTCTGGCCCCACCCCCTTTGCTAAAGGGTTTCTTTTCTTTGACTTAAAAAAAATGTTTTGAGCTAATTACAGCCTCACAAGGTGCTGCAGAGGTAGTACTGCCTCCAGGGAGCCTCCTAGACTGGGAAGCCATCTGTGTGCTCACTTGTACATCCATCTTTATGAGATTTTTTTTTTTTTAAGATTTATTTATTTGAGAGAGTTACACAGAGAGAGAGGTCTTCCATCCGCTGGTTCTCTCCCCAATTGGCTGCAAAGGCCGGAGCTGCGCTGATCCGGAGCCAGGAGCTTCCTCTGGGTCTCCCACGCGGGTGCAGGGCCAAGGACTTGGGACATCTTCCACTGCTTTCCCAGGCCACAGCAGAGAGCTGGATCGGAAGTGGAGCAGCTGGGATTGGAACCAGTGCCCACATGGGATGCCAGCACAGCAGGCGTAGGATTAACCTACTGCGCCACGGCACCAGCCCCATAAATGTTTTTTTAAAAAAATAATAATCCCGCAGGGCCAGAATTTGCCCCAGGGTAAGGACCATGGCCTTCTGGCAGTGCCTGCAGTGAGGCCTGGGCTGCTCCAGGCTCAGGCTGCAGAAGTGGGAGCCACCATTCCTGGATTCCTCATTTTGAAGAGCTCTGGGGGACCGCTCCTGTCTGTGTGTTCCGCAGGACTCGGTGCCTGGTGCTCACTGCTGGCTCCAGACTGGGGGAGGAACAGGGAAATGGACGAGTGTCTGGTCTGAGGGTTCTAGGTTGCTCGCAGAACTACCTGTGCTGGGGGAATCCCCACTGTGAGAGACTCCAGGGACCCAAGGGCGCTGGCGCCCAACAGCGTCTCAGCCGCCTGCCCCGAGGCTGTGACCTTGGTGCTGCCGCGGCCGCTGTCCCCCGCGGTGCCGGGTGCTCTGAGTGTGCTGCGTCTTTTGGCAGCCCTGGGTGCCGCGGTCTCCTCGCAGGAAGTCTTTCCTGCCTGAGTTGGCGCTGAGCTTCGGGCAGCTGAGAACCTTGCCGGGGTAGAGAAGCTTGGTGCTGTGCCTGCGGTGCCGCAGGTGGAGGGCGGGGCCGGACACGAACACAGGCTCAGCCCAGAGCCCCACGGCTGCTGCACCTGACCGTGCCGAGTCCCAGAATATTAGGCGGAGCTGACGGTGACTTGGGGTGTGTTGGATTTGTGTTCCCAAGTTAGGATGTTCTCTTTTTGGCGTTTTCAGACAAACACCATCCTTCAAAAGTAGCCAGAAGCAACATTGCTTTTGGGTCATGTGTGGTTAGAAAACCCAGAAAGGTTTAAAAATAAGGTGGCGTTCACCATCGGCTTGTGGGATGGGTGGGGTTCGATGGGGAGGAGTTGTGCCACACTGGACAGGACAGTGCCGGCGCGGGGAGCGTCAGCAGGACAGCGGTGAAACCACCTGAAGGCGTTTGTGGAAGACTGCTCCTCGGACTCCTGAGGCGCTCGCCGGGCGTCAGGGCCAGTGGGCACTGCCGGGCACGGGAGCCGGGTGCGCGGGCAGCCGGGAGGCCTGTGGCACGGCCCAGGCTCGGGCTGTCTGCCCAGACAGATTCACAGCACCTCCTGCATCGCGACGCTCGCCGTCGGAAGGCTCTGGCTGTGAGCAGAGCCCGGCCCCGTGGTAGGTCACTCGACTTCCAGCTGTGTTCCAGTGAGCCTTCGGAGGGTTTTCCCCTCTCTGCTTCTGAATTGTACCCAGAGCTGAGTGGTGCCTGGAGGGAATGCTCTCAGGACGGCCTGAGCCGGAAGCCCCCCCCCGGGTGCAGACCCTCCTCCTGACCGGACGTCCCATGTGGTCCGACGACAGCAGACCCTGAAGTAGAGATAACAGTTTGAGGTTTTTTTCCCTTTACTTTTACCTGGCGTCTAGTCACATTCAGAAACACCAGGGCACCACAGGTTCAGTGCTGCTCACTGCATCGGCACCCAGCTGCTCTGCCCCTGATCCACGCCCCTGCTAATGCCCTGAGAAGCAGCAGGTGATGGCACACGGTCTTGGACCCTTGCCACCGTGTGGGAGAGCTGGATGGAGCTCCTGGCTTCAGCCTGGCTCAGCTCAGGCCATTGCAGCCATTTGGGGAGTGAAACGGTGGATGGAAGTCTCTGTCTTTCTGGTCACTCTGCCTGTGAATAAATAAATCAATCTTTTTTTTTCTTTTTTTAAGAAATGGAATAGCTCCATTTACTAGTGTGAGGTTTGCCTTTGGACTAAGCTTTTGGATAACTGAGGAAGCCCAGAGGGACAGAATGGGGGACAGGACAGGACAGGACAGGGGCAGGACAGGGACGGAGACCAGGACAGGACGGGGACAGGCTCGCTCTTGGTTGCTTTCCTTTCCCCAGGCTGGCAGTAGACGAATGTGGCTGCTGTCTGATGGCCAAAGTGGACGAGCAGAACAAGGGCAGATTTCTTGGCCAGGGCGTCTCTCCTTGGTGGCACCTTGGAATTGCCGGGCACCGCCCGCCCGCCCGCCTGCCCCCTCCCCAAGAGAGGCTGCTTTAATTGGCCAGGGGGTGTGGCATCCTGATTGTGAAAGTACCCGGTGGTTCTGCTGTGGCGCCAAGGCTGAGTGCCATCGTGCCCTTCCAGGCTGCCTGCGGTGCACCTTACCCGCGGCTGCTGAACCCCTGCATTTGCCTGGTTTTTGAAGGCACAGACTCAGCCCAGACCCAGAGGTTGGGTGTGCACGTGGCTGGCCAGGAGCTGAGGTTGAGCGCACCCTCCCAGGTAGGTCTGGGAGACGGGCTCGTGGGATGGAGGGGCGTTCTGCCAGACTGGTGGCTTCCCTGTGCCTCTCCCGCTCTCCCGGCAGGCTCCCGGGCCCGTGGCGGCAGCCAGGCCTGAGCTTGCGTGGTAATCGGGCTCTCAAGATGGAATCTACAGTCGTAGCGTTCTCCACCCCACTCCGCTTGCTTTCCTCGGCCACATTTGTGTTGTAGACATTTCAAGCGTCTGTTCGCATGGAGCACGGGCTGCGCCTGCTGGCTGGTGGTTTTCTCCTCTTTAGGCCCTGAGCCCTCGGCCGGTAGCCCTCCACTCCCAGCTTCTGCTGCCGGCTTTTTGCCTGGTTACCTTTTGCAGACACCGTGCCACACCTGCCCCACGCCCAGGGCAGGGCTGCTGGGGCTGGGTTTAGTGACCACACGTCCTCACTCGCTGGCTCTGCCTGTGGGAGGGAGGCGCCTGCATGCTGGTTTGCTCTAGGTGGTGGTGGAACGCAGGTCGCAGAGCCCTGGGCTCAGCCCCGCCCTCCGCAGCCTTTGACCTGCCTCCTGCCCTGGGCCTGCCTGCTGTGTGGATTCCGCAGGACTCAGCCTGCCTGTTCCCTTCATTATTTCCGTGTCAGCACTTCATTGCTTTTTTTTTTTTTTAATTTTATTTATTTATTTGAGAGGTAGAGTTACAGACAGTGAGAGGGAGAGACAGAGAGAAAGGTCTTCTTCCATTGGTTCACCCCCAAAATGGTCGCTACGGCTGGCGCGCTGCGCTGATCTGAAGCCAGGAGCCAGGAGCCTCTTCCTGGTCTCCCATGGGGTGCAGGGCCCAAGCACTTGGGCCATCCTCCACTGCACTCCCGGGCCACAGCAGAGAGCTGGCCTGGAAGAGGAGCAGCCGGGACTAGAACCCGGTGCCCATATGGGATGCGGCGCCACAGGCAGAGGATTAGCCAAGTGAGCCACGGCGCCGGCCTGCCATCAACATTTTTTAAAAAAGATTTTTCTGTATTTATTTGAAAGGCAGAGATAAAGAGAAAAAAAATCGATTTTCCATCCACTGTTTCACTCTCCCCAAATGGCCACAATGGCCAAGGCTGGACCAGACTGAAGCCAGGAGCCAGGAGCCAGGAGCTTCTTCTGGGTCTCTCACTGGGGTGGGTGGGGGGCTCTGTGTGTGTGTGTGTGTGTGTATACAGGGGCCCAGGCACTGGTGTGTGTGTGTGTGTGTGTGTGTGTGTGTGTGCAGGGACCCGGGCACTTAGGCCATCTTCTGCTACTTTCTCAGGCCATTAGCAGGGAGCTGGATCAGAAGTGGAACAGCTGGGATTTGAACTGGCGTCCATATGGGATGCCAGTGCTGTAGGACATGGCTGTACCTGCTACACCACAGCCCATCCCCCTTCAACCCCCAGGGTAATTCGTTTGCAGTGGCCTGGCTCTTGGCAGAGCTGACAGGGCTCCTCGGAAGCCGGCTCCGTCACGACAGCTGTTTGCCCTGTCTGCTTGACGGCAGATGACCGTGTGAAGCAGCAGTTAGGGGACCTGCCACCCATCCCGACACTGTTCCTGCTTAGCTCCCTCCTCCCTCTCCTGGTCTCCAGGAACACAAACCACAGAGGCGACTTTTAGGATGGCAGCCACGGGTGCTCAGCCCATCCCTCATTTTGGAAGACCTATTTTAGTATCAGGGTGAGCTGGAAAGCTATGGTCATGGGCACGTCCTGACACTTGGTATTTCTCTGAGTTAAGACCGTGCCCATGAGACTGTCCTTCAGGTGAGATCACATGTCCTGTCCATGTGTTTGGACATGGTCTCCCTCTCCCTCTGGAACGCAGAGGGGCGTTCTGCTCGTTTATTGTGCACATAGCAAAACAGCTCCAGCTGTGGAGCCTGCAGTTCAGCCGCATTCTCTGCCTGTGCTCTTTGGGCCTCTGTTTGTGGCTGGGCATTACTACAGAAAAAGGTCAGCCACCCACGCCTTCTATAAATCTGGGAATCAAAGGTAGCAGGGAGTCAGGGATGTCACCTTCCCAGCTGCAGGAGCAGGGGGAGGCGTGAGCTCAGCCCAGCCCTGCTCACTGCGAGCCCGGTCTTGGAGGGCGCTTCTGCCTTCCCTAGGCTCCAAGATTTTCACCGTGCAGCCAGTGGGTGACGGGCCTGGGTTGCTGGTTGGTTGGTTTGTTTTTCCTTCTTTTTATAAGTTATTTATTTGTTAGAGAGTTACAGACAATGAGAGGGAGAGACAGAGAGAAAGGTCTTCCATCTGCTGGTTCACTCCCCAGACTGCCGCAACAGCCAAAGCTGGGCCAGGCCAAAGCCAGCAGCCAGGGCTTCTTCCCGGTCTCCCATGCAGGTGCAGGGGCCCAAGTGCTTGGGTTATCTTCTGCTGCTTTGCCACTTTTTTTTTTTTTTTGCCATTGGTTCACCTTCCAATGGCTGCCACGGCCGGCGCACCGTGCTGATCCGATGGCAGGAGCCAGGTACTTATCCTGGTCTCCCATGGGGTGCAGGGCCCAAGGACTTGGGCCAACCTCCACTGCCCTCCTGGGCCACAGCAGAGAGCTGGCCTGGAAGAGGGGCAACCGGGACAGAATCTGGCACCCCGACTGGGACTAGAACCCGGGGTGCAGGCGCCGCAAGGCAGAGGATTAGCCTAGTGAGCCGTGGCACCGGCCTTGCTTTGCCACTTTTAACTAGTGTTAACATGTAAGCCATGAATGTGTACTAGAACCTACTGTGCAATACAGAACAGTTTTCAGATTCGTCCAGTAAGTTTTCAGGGCTTCCAGACTTTGACCGTGTAGCTGTGAGCTTTCCTGGGCTCCTGGGACCCCGCTGTCCAGTGTCTGCTGCGTAACCGGCCTCAGTCTACGTCTCTTTTGGAACCCTTCCTCCCTTCTGACCCGCGTTTGGAACTGGCAATGCCTGGCTGTTCACTGTTAGCTTGACTGAGCCTTTGTGAGTCCCTCTCTAAAGAATCTGGCTAGCAAGGCTGAGACTGGAGCAGCTAAAGAAAAATGCTCATAACTGAAGTTTAGCATCATTTCACATCTTGCAACACTTTTAATATCATCCAAATAGCCTAATTGGTTCTTATCTCTGCAAGAGGAGAGATGTATCCTTTGACGTTTCCAGAGGCCCAACTGGAAATACCAGAGTCCAGAAGGCTGAGAACCTGATTTTCAGAAAATCTGTTAAAGATGCCAAGAGAGCTTAAAGTATCTGAAGTGGAATTCCTCCCCGTTGCGAAATCCTGTCGTTAGGTTTGGAGTAGCTCGAGGTTCTGGCCTTGCGTACCCACAGGAAAGAGATGCAAAAAGGAGCCGGAGCTGACCTCCACGGAGCCAGGCTGCTTTATTGAAGCAAAGAGGAGCACTGGGCACCGGGCACGGAGGGCTGGGTTTTGTCTGGCTGAGGAGGGGACCTGCCCTGGTGGGCCGCAGGGGCTTGCAGCTGTGGGAAGCAGGGAGTAGGGGCTTCTGCAAGCCGCTGGGAACTTTTCTCTCGGCTGTCTCACAAGCTGCCCGTGCAGCTGATGTGTTGCCAGCTGCTGTGCAAGGGGCCTGGGGGCGGTTGAGCCTGGTTCCTGCACCCAGGGTCTCGGGTGGGTCACCCCCTGTGGGCTTTATTGCCCTTTAATGTCCATCCACTAGTCAGGGTGGCTTTACCAGTTGTGGACCAGAGCTAATCACAATAGAGTGACCAGATCTTTTAAGTAAGTACATATTTACAGTAATTTTAACTTTTATTCAGTGCTGTCCAACGATCAGAGCTTGACAGACAGTAGAGAACGCAATAGATTACTTTAGCAGAACACCAAATCTGTGCCTTTTTGGTTGTCAGAAAAATCAGAAATAAAAACCGTAAATATAAGAGCACATGAAATCACTCCAGAATTTGGAACAATTTAACAGTGTCAGGAAAGAGCTTATAGGCCCGAACTAGAAAGTTGGAGAGGAGCCAGCTCTGTGGCACAGAAGGCTAAGCCCCCGCCCACAGTGCCGGCATCCCATCTGGTTGCTGCTTCAAGACCAGGCTGATCCGCTTCCAGTTCAGCTCCCTGCTGATGCACCTGGGAGGGCAGTGGATGCTGGCCCAGTGCTTGGGACCCTGCCCCCACAGGCGAAACCCAGAAGAGGCTCCTGGCTTCTGCTTGGCTCAGCACAGCCATTGTGGTCATTTGGGGAGTGAAGCAGGAGGTGGAAGCTCCCTCTCCCTCTCCCTCTCCCTTTCCCTGTCCTCTCCCTCTCCCTCTCCCTCTCCCTCTCCCTCTCCCTCTCCCTCTCCCTCTCCCTCTCCCTCTCCCTGTCCTCTCCCCCTCCCTCTCCCTCTCTCCCTCTCTCTCTCCCTCTCCCTGTCCTTCTCTCCCCCTCCCTCTCCCCTCCCTCTCCCTCTCTCCCTCTCCCTGTCCTCTCCCCCTCCCTCTCTCCCTCTCCCTCTCCCTCTCTCCCTCTCTCCCTCTCCCTCTCCCTGTCCTCTCCCCCTCCCTCTCTCCCTCTCCCTCTCCCTCTCCCCCTCTCTCCCTCTCTCCCTCTCCCTCTCGTCCTCTCCCTCTCCCTCTCCCTCTCCCTCTCCCTCTCCCTCTCTCCCTCTGCCCCTTTTGTGTATCTCTGCCTTTCAAATAAATGAATTAAAAAATGAAAATTGGCAGAGAGTAACCAATTAAACAGAAGCTGGAAACGTTACGGGTTTTTGCAAACACAGATTTTTAAATTCAAGATCAAGGCTGTTTCCAGATACTCACATGTTGGTTCACATGTTTCTACAACTCATTGCTTTACGGAAGATCAGAACTTAATGTCAATGTAACTTTGAAAGTAACGCTCAATTTGTAGAAAAATTTGTAGGCCGGCGCCGCGGCTCACTGGGCTAATCCTCCACCTAGCGGCGCCGGCACACCGGGTTCTAGTCCCGGTCGGGGCGCCGGATTCTGTCCCGGTTGCCCCTCTTCCAGGCCAGCTCTCTGCTGTGGCCAGGGAGTGCAGTGGAGGATGGCCCAAGTGTTTGGGCCCTGCACCCCATGGGAGAGCAGGATAAGTACCTGGCTCCTGCCATCGGATCAGCGCGGTGCGCTGGCCGCAGCGCGCCAGCCGCAGTGGCCATTGGAGAGTGAACCAACGGCAAAGGAAGACCTTTCTCTCTGTCTCTCTCTCTCTCTCACTGTCCACTCTGCCTGTCAAAAAAAAAAAAAATTTGTAAACACTATTTAAAATTATGATCAATTTTATCACACATAAATTTTTCTTTTTTTTTTTTTTTTTGACAGGCAGAGTGGACAGTGAGAGAGAGAGACAGAGAGAAAGGTCTTCCTTTGCCGTTGGTTCACCCTCCAATGGCCGCCGCTGCAGCCGGCGCACCGCGCTGATCCGATGGCAGGAGCCAGGATCCAGGTGCTTTTCCTGGTCTCCCATGGGGTGCAGGGCCCAAGCACCTGGGCCATCCTCCACTGCACTCCCTGGCCATAGCAGAGAGCTGGCCTGGAAGAGGGGCAACCGGGACAGAATCCGGCGCCCTGACCGGGACTAGAACCCGGTGTGCCGGCGCCGCAAGGTGGAGGATTAGCCTATTGAGCCACGGCGCCGGCCTAACACATAAATTTTTCTTCCAAGATTTACTCCTCTCAGACTTTTTGTGGCTCGTCACACCTCTTGTGACTTGCTTAGACCTTTAGTTTCAAGTAGTCTAGCACTGTCATGCTTGGAGAATTTAGGGGGATGTAATTGTCAGTAAAGCAAGCGTCTGCCGTACAGAACCGGAGATGCTGAGCGTACACAGGCCTGTACCGGAACTCCCCTTTTCCCAGGCTGTGTTTAGCAGCTCTGCCTAAAGGACTCAACACGTGGAGATAATAATGAGTACCACATCACTATCTGAATTAGAAAACTTTTATTCAATAAATATAAATTTTGGAAGCACAACTTTTGGATTACAGTGTTTTCCCCCCATAACCTCCCTCCTACCTGCAAACTGTCCCCTCTTCTATCCCTCTCCATCCCATTCTTCATTAAGATTCACTTTTAATTGATATACAGAACATCAGCTTAGTATATACTGAGTAAAGATTTCAACAGACTGCACCCACACAGACACCTGAGTTAGATTTAAGGTCAGAATTACATTCCCATGTTCTGAAATAACTGTCCAGGCTAAGGATAACACCTCCTGACCAGCAGCCACAGGCACTAACCTATGTTAGCAACTTTGAAACTACCTTTGACCCTTTATTTATTTTTTAAATATTTTGAAAGGTAGAGTTACAGAGAGAGGGAGAGGCAGAAAAGTCTTCCATCCGCTGGTTCACTCCCCAGGTGGCCACAACGGCCTCAGCTGAGCCGATCCGGAGCCAGGCGCCAGGGGCTGCTTTGGGTCTCCCACAGGGATGCAGGGGCTCAAGCACTTGGCCATCTTCTACTGCTTCTCCAGGCCATTAGCAGGGAGCTGGATTGAAAGAGGAGCAGCTGGGACTCGAACCAGCACCCGTATGGGATGCTGGTGCCGCAGGTGGAGGCTTAGCCTACTTCATCACAGCGCTGGCCCCTCTGTCCCTTTGCAAAAGTGCAAAGCAGATGATCAGAGAGTCGCGGAAACAGTGAACTGACATGCATTTGGATTAACATAATTTTTCTGAGCCAATCTGTGCTGGCTCACTTTGGTATGACAATAAAAAGCCTTGGTATACAGAATTTACTCCCTTTTTTAATTAAAAAAAAAAAAAAAAAAAAAAAAAAAACTCCAGTTGGAAAACAGTGACATGAATACAACATAAAATTGGCGTCATTTTATGACCTTACAATGTACTTTTTTTTTATGACCTTACAATGTACTTTACATAATCTGAATTGACTCGAGTTCCAGGGATGCGATTGGGAGTTCCGGAGTCAGGAGGCTCGGCTGGAATTCTAACGTCAGGGCTGGCGCCGTGCACGGCTGGAATTCTAACGTCGGGCTGTTGCCGTGGCTTGGTAGGCTAAGCCTCCGCCTGTGGCGTTAGCATCCCAAATGGACGCGAGTCTGTGTCCTGGCTGCTCCTTTTCTGATCCAGCTCTCTGCTTGTGGCCTGGGAAAGCAGTGGAAGATGGGCCAAGTGCTTGGGCCCCTGCACCCTCGGAATGGCCCAGCGCTAGCCATTGTGGCCATTTGGGGAGTGAACCACCAGATGGAAGACCTCTCTGTCTCTCCCTCTCTGTAACTCTACCTCTTGAATGAATGAATGAATGAATGAATAAAATCTTTAAAAAAAGAGAACTTTAAAATTGTCAGAGGATAATACAATAATACACTTAACCTGAGCATTTTAACCAAAGCTGTGGGCCAGATCTGATCAGTTCAGGTGATCACTCAAACATTCAAAATAGACCATGTTGGGGGGGCCAGTTCTTCCCTCCTTTTCTCCATCGTCCACTGGTTCACTCCCCAAATGGCTGCAACAGCCAGGACTGGGCCAGGCCGAAGCCAGGAGCCTGGAGCTTCCTCTGGGTCCCGCGCAGGGGTGCGGGGGCCCAGCACCGGGCTGTCCTCCACTGCTTCCCCAGGCACATCAGCAGGGAGCTGGTTCTCGAACCGTCACCCACGTGGGATGCTGGCATTGCAGTGGAGGTCTGACTGGCTGCACCACAATGGTGGCCCCACGTTTTGTTTGTTTGCTTGTTTTTAAATATTTGTTCATCAATTTGTTTGAAAGAGTCCATCCCTGGTTCATTCCTCAGATGACTGCAGTGGCCAAGGCCGGGCCAGGCTGGAGCCAGGAGCTTCATCCTGGCCTCCCAGGCGGGTGCAGGGCCCAAGCACTTGGGCCGTCTGCTGCTGCTTTCCCAGGCCACAGCAGAGAGCTGGATGGGAGGTGGAGTGCCAGGACGGGAAGCAGCGCCCATATGGGTTGCTGGCGTTGCTGGTGGTGGGTTTACCCACCGTGCCGCGACACGGGCCCCATGTGCTCTCGTTTTATTAACACAGTGACCAGAAGTTAAACTCTGGGATGTGCACATGATAATGGACAACAAGGATCTGGAAGCTGAGATCCACCCTTTGAAGAATGAGGACAAAAACGCCCAGGAAAACCCGGGAAAGCGAGTGAAGAACGGAGAGGACTTGAGAAGCTCGCCCGCCCAGTCCCGGCTCTCCCGATGCCGGGCGGCCGCCTTCTTCCTCTCCCTGTTTCTCTGCCTTTTTGTGGTGTTCGTCGTCTCCTTCATCATCCCGTGTCCCGACCGACCTGTGTCGCAGCGGATGTGGCGGGTCGACTACAACGCGGCAGGTGAGTCTCCCGGGGAGGGGAGGACCCAGCGTGTCTGAGTCTGCAGTGTCCTCGTCCGCGGCGTCCCCGGCCCGCCCTCTGCAGGAAGGTCCAGCGGGGAAAGGAGTGGGGGGCCGCCGGGTCGCTTTGCGCAGGTGAGACAGACGCTGGAATTCCGGTGGACAGCAGCTGTCCCGCGCATGAAGGGTGGGGCAGGTAGCGTGCAGTCCAGCTGAGGCGCCCAGCCAGCACCCGTCAGCTGGAGGAAAGCACACGGCCCCTTCCGCCTGTGCAGCCGGCCCGTAGGGATCTGGGCCTTCATGGGATCCGGCGTGGCTGAGGGTCCCGGGGGAGACATGGCCCCCGGGAGGGTGTGCCGCAGCCGGGCGCCAGGGCCTCGGAAAGGCGTCTTTGGTTTCCATTTCCTTGGTGAGCGGTGGTGATGAGTGGGCTCTGTGCTTACTGGTCAGCTGTGTGTCTGTGGAGAAAGGCCCACTACATCTTTTGCCCACGTTGGCATTAGGTTTTTTTGGTTTGGGGTTGTAGGAGGGAGTTCCTTATGCAGGAGTACTTTGAAAAGTTCATACAGAGGGGCTGGTGCTGTGGCGCAGTAGGTTAATCCTCTGCCTGCAGCGCCGGCATCCCATAGTGCGCCAGTTCGAGTCCCGACTGCTCCTCTTCCCATCCAGCTCTCTGCTGTGGCCTGGGAAAGCAGTGGGAGATGGTCCAAGTCTTTGGGCCCCTACACCCGTGTGGGAGACCTGGAGGAAGACCTCTCTCTGTCTCTCCCACTGTATGTAACTCTACCTCTCAAATAAATAAATAAAATTTAAAAAAAAAAGAGAGAGAGAAAAGTTAATTCAGGGTGGAATTAAAAGATGTTTATATTGGAGCAAGAATGTTTTTTTAAAAAAATGCATCCAAGCAGTTTTCAAAACATTCATGGAAAATGCTTATTATGAAAAAACAATGATTTAAGCTTATCTTGTAATGCTATTTTCCATGGACCTTTTTTTTTTTCATTTGTTTATTTATTTAGAAGATGGAGTTACAAAGAGGAGAGGCAGAGAGAGAGAGAGAGGTCTTCCATCCACTGGTTCACTCCCCAGTTGGCCGCAACAGCCCAGGATGGGCCAGCCAACACCAGGAGCTTCATCCGGTCTCCCACGTAGGTGTGGGGCCCAGGCACTTGGACTGTCCCCCACTGCCTTCCCAGGTGCATTAGCAGGGAGCGGGATCAGAAGTAGAGCAGCCACGATGGGAACCGATGCCCTTACGGGATGCCAGTGTTGCAGGCAGCGGCTTTACTTGCCACGCCACAGCATAGGCCCCACACCAAAGGTGTAATTTTGCTGAAGTCTACTTCATTTTTTTCTTTTGTTGCCTTGTTTTTGGTGTTATAGCAAACTCTTACTCATTCAGTGTTACAGACGTTAGCTCCTGAATCAAAATGGATCAAAACTGGAACCTTCGGTTGTGTGTCTGTCGTAGCTAAGGGTCGACCGTCACCTCCAGGCGTGTGTTTGGAGACCTGGAATGAAAGGAGGAAGCGGTCCCTCACGAGTGTGGAGTGTGGGTGGACACTGGTGCTTGGGACCTCCCCAGTGATCCCCAGAGCGACCGTTCCCTGGCACGGGCTGTTGAGAGCTCCCTGTGCACCCTGCCCCCTTCCGTTCCTTCCTGACCCTGTCTGTCCACGAGGGGCGGCTGCTCAGGGTCTGGCCCAGCGCACCGCAGCGACCGGTTTTCTCTTGCAGTTACCTATGACTTTCTGGCCATGGAAGACGTGAATCGGGACAGGACCCAGGATGTTCTCTTCCTGTATAAGAGTGCCGACGGTGGGAGCCACGCCAACTGGTCCTGCACTGACGAAGGTGATGGGTTTTATCTGAAAAGCAGGGCTCTGTGAGTCATCCTGTCCCGCTGACAGGGTTCAGGGGGCAGCTGCTGGGGTCTGGGCACAGCTCAGCACTCTGGGAGCCATGCTAGGGGATCTCGGAGGGTGGGGTGCAGGGGGCAGCTGCTGGGGTCTGGGCACAGCTCAGCACTCTGGGAGCCGCGCTAGGGGATCTTGGAGGGTGGGGTGCAGGGGGCAGCTGCTGGGGTCTGGGCACAGCCCATCACTCTGGGAGCCGCGCTAGGAGATCTCGGAGGGTGGGGTGCAGGGGGCAGCTGCTGGGGTCTGGGCACAGCTCAGCACTCTGGGAGCCGCGCTAGGGGATCGCGGAGGGTGGGGTGCAGGGGGCAGCTGCTGGGGTCTGGGCACAGCTCAGCACTCTGGGAGCCGTGCTAGGGGATCGCGGAGGCAGAGCCGGCTCCCTTGCCCCCTCGGCTCCTGACCCTGTGGGGCGAGTGAGCGCCCCGCAGTCTGAGTTGGGGGAAGGGGCGGGGGGGCTGCGGCTGCACGCTGAGTGCCCCGTCTCCCTTCCAGGATCGTCTGCCTGTGCTTTTGTGGCTGCAGTGTCCGGGGCCAACGGCAGCATGCTGTGGGAGAGGCCTGTGGCCCCCGACGTGGCCCTCGCAGAGTGTGCCATTCCCCAGCGCACGGACAGCGAGGCCTCTTCTGCCTGCGTCCTTGTGGGCAGGCCTGGTACCTTCATCGCAGTCGATGTGTTCACAGGTGGGTCAGCGGGGAGGGGCTTCGCCCCCCAGGGTCAGGGCTGGGCTCCTGAGGGTGGTCCCTGGAGGGGGTGAGCACTCGGGTGACTCTCACCTGCAGTCCGGTGTCCTGTTACCAGCCAGGAAGTCTATACCTAGATTTGGAGGATATTAGCATTTCTCTTCCAAGCTGTAGGTTTTTGTTGTTGTTGTTATTTAAAGATTTATTTATTTATTTGAAAGGCAGAGTTACAGAAAAGGCAGAGAGCGAGCGAGCGAGCGAGCGAGCTTCCATCTGCTGGTTCACTGCCCACATGGCCGCAACAGCCGGAGCTGAGCCTGTCTGAAGCCAGGAGCTTCTTCCGGTGTCCCCTACAGGTGCAGCAGACCAAGCACTTGGGCCGTCTTCCACTGCCTTCCAGGCCATAGCAGAGAGCTGGATCGGGAGTGGAGCAGCCGGCACTGCAGGCAGCGGTATTGCCCACTACACCACAACACCCGCTCCCAAGCTGTGGTTTTAAGAATACAGAGTAAATAAAGAGCTGACTGGACATGCTTTACAGCCTGTCCCATCGGCCTTAGGAAGGGGCTGGGGGACTGGCACTGTGGCAGGCGGGTAAAGCTGCCGCCTGCGACTCAGCATCCCATGGGGCGCTGGGTCGAGTCTCAGCATCTCCACTTCCTTGTTTTGTATTTTATTTGAAAGGCAGAGTTGCAGAGAAAGAGAGAGAAAGAGGTCTTCTATCCGCTGGTTCATTCCCCAAATGGCCACAACAGCCAGAGCTGGGCCAATCCAAAGCCAGGAGCTAGGAGCTTCTTCCGCGTCTCTCATGCAGGTATAGGGGCCCAAGGACTTGGGCCATCCTCCTCTGTTTTCTGAGGCCATAGCAGAGAGCTGGGTTGGAAGAGGAGCACCTGGGACTAGAACCAGTGCCCATATGGGATGCCGGCACTGCAGGCGGTGGCTTTACCCTGCTACACCATAGTGCCGGCCCCCAGCTCCACTTCTGATCCAGTTCCCTGTGTTCCTGCAAATGGCCTAGAAAATTAGCAGTGGAGGATGGCTCACGCGTTTGGGTCCCTGCACCCATGTCGGAAACCTCGAAGAAGCTCTTAGCTCCTGGCTTTGGCCCAGTCCTGGCCATTGTGGCCATTTGGGTCGTGAACCAGGGGATAGAAGATCTCCGTAAGTCTGCCTTTCAAATAAATTAATAATTATTGAACAGAAAAGGGCGAGATAGCTAGGGGTGGCGCTTGCCCTGGTGATGAGGTTAATGTGTCTGCGTCTGGGGCTGACGCTCTGGCGTAGACGGTTAAGCTGCTGCCTGCGACACTGGCCTCTTGTGTCGGTGCAGTTCCAGTGCCGGCTGCTCTACTTCTGGTGTAGCTCCCTGCTACTGCACCTGGGAAAGCAACAGAAGACGACCCAGGTGCGTGGGCCCCTGTGCCTACCTGGGAGACCCAGATGAAGCGCCTGGCTTCTGGCTTCCATCTGGCCCAGCTGCAGTCGTTGTGGCCATTTGAAGAGTGAGCCAGCAGATAAAAGGTCTCTGTCTCTCCTCTCGCCTCTCTGTAACTCTGCCTGTCAAGTAAATAAAATAAATCTGTATTAAAAAAGACATCTGCAGGGGCTGGTGCCGTGGCTCACTTGGTTAATCCTCCACCTGTGGCACTGGCATCCCATATGGGTGCCGGTTCTAGTCCCGGTTGCCCCTCTTCCAGGCCAGCTCTCTGCTGTGGCCTGGGAGGGCAGTGGGGGATGGCCCAAGTGCTTGGGCCCTGCACCCCATGGGAGACCAGGAGAAGCACCTGGCCCCTGGCTTCGGATCAGCACAGTGCCGGCCGTAGCGGCCATTTGGGGAATGAACCAACAGGAGGAAGACCTTTCTCTCTGTCTCTCTCTCTGTCTATAACTCTACCTGTCAAATAAAAAAATAAAATATTAGCAAAAATAATCACACTAATAAAAAGACATCTGCATCCCACATCAGATCACCCCGGGCCTGGCTCCGACTCAGGCTTCTTGCCGGAGCACACCCTGGGAGGCAGTGGTGCGACGGAAGTCACTGGGCTCTGGCCACCGTCTGGGACACACGGCTCCCAGCTTCTGCGCCTGCTGGGGGCCGTCGTGAATAGTTGGCAAGTGCCCCAGAGAGTGGGACATGTCTCCCTCTTTCTCTCTTCTTCTCTCTCCTCCTCTGCCCCTCCCCTCCCGTTTGCCTCTCAAGTAAATAAAAACAATGTTTTAAAGAGGGAGTGTTTGGGCGAGCTCATGCCAGGATCTGTGGGTGACCTTCCTGGGGCTAAAGGCCCCCTCCTCCCAGGGCCGGGGAGTCAGTCCTAGCCTGGGCGTTCTAGGACAGACTCGAGCAAGCTGGTTGCCAGGAGTCATACGTGGCCAGCTGTGTGCCCACGGGCGTGTTGTGCGTCAGGCACACGTGCTTGGCCATGCTGCCGGGCCCCAGGACGGACGCCGCGACGTGACTGCCACGTGGCCGTGACGCCCCCGCAGCCCACGTGCCATGGCTGTGCTTGCTTGCAGGGGAGACGCTGTGGAGCCACCCGAGCGGCATCGGCAGCAACGCCTCCATCTTGAGGCCACTGCTCCGGGTGCCTGACGTCGATGGCGACGGGGCCCTGGACCTGCTGATCCTCGCCCAGGAGGGAACGGAGGTGCAGATGCGCACGGCCACCACTGCCCCCTGCCCTCCACTCGTGCCTTCCCAGGCAGAATCGGTCTGCCGGCGGGCGGGATGTGTCCAAGGCCCGCGTCCTGACCCCTCAGGCCCCACGTGCGGAGCGACGGCTCTGCCGGGGGGCTGACAGCACTCGCTGTTGGTGTGCCTGGTGGTGGTAGGGGTTGGGGTCCTGAGGGTCCCGCCCGGGGCTGTGTGGGCTGCTCTGGGGAGGCACAAAGCTCTGGCCCCAAACCCAGCAGGCCTGCGTCAGCAGCACGCCGGCTCCTCGTGGGGTCTGGGCCTGTCTCACCGCCTGCCTCCCTCATTGCAGGTGCACGGCTACATCTACTCGGGCAGCACTGGCCACCAGATCGGCGACAGAGGCAGCCTCGGGGTGGACGGAGGCAGCAGCCCCCTCCTGCACGTCACCAGGACGGGCGCGCACTACATCCTCCTCCCCTGCGGTGGGTCGTCCCGCCACGCCGGAGGGCTGGCTTCACGGCTAGGCGGCTGGTCTCAGAGAGGAGGCCGGCCCCCAGGGAAGCGACGCTGAGCAGGTCGGAGAGGCCTGCGGCTCTCGGCTGCCCCCCGTGACCCTGGTGGCTTGGGCCTTGTGTGTTTCGAACAGCAAACTCCCTCTGTGGCTGCTCTGTGAAGGGCCTCTACGAGAAGGTGGCTGGGAGAGAGGGCCCGTTTCAGAAGGACCCGCTCTGGGAGAGCCTGCTGGACACCACCACTCACAGGGTGCTGTCGCACAGGTTGGTCCGACCCCGCCCAGGCAGCACGCAGGCCGTCACCGCCGCGGGCGGCTCCAGGCCCTGGTCGTGGGCTGCCGTGAGACCGTCCTCAGCTCAGACACTGGCCAGCAGCCGCCCAGGCAGACCCGAGGAGAGAGCCTCCCGGCGGGCTGCCACCGGCTTGCGTGTATTTCACGTTGGAGAGCAGCAGTGTGGGGGTTGACTCGAGCCAGCGGGAAGGCCTGGGCCAGGCAGTGCCTTCCCGCTTGCTCGCCCGAGACCCGTCCCCTGAGGCTCTGTGCCGTCCCTCTCCCCTGTAGCGCTGGAGCTGTCCGCCACCTGATGAGCGTCCCCGGGAGAGCTGGCCAGGACGTGCTCCTCGTGGGATCTGAGGCCTGCGTGCTGCTGGACGGGCAGGAGCTCACAGCCCGGTGGACGCTTGGCGCGGCCCAGGTCCTGAGGTACGGGCTTCTGCAGGCGCCGTGCGCTGGCTGCAAACCTCGGAGCCCACGAGCCAGCACCCCAGGCTGCCGCGCTGCCCAGCAGGGAGGCTGCCCTGCGGAGGGGCCGTGTGCGCGTCTGCCGGAGCCCTCGCGCTTGTCCTTGTGCTCGCCCGCACCCTCGGCGCACAGTGGCCCACACAGACCCCCACTCCGCCCGCCCCGGGCCTCTGCTCACCTGGGCAACGGGGGCGGGTGCAGCCAGACCCAGCGGCACACGTGTGCCAGGCTTGTCCTTCCCTTCACAGAGACCCCTTGTGAGTTCGTTCTTATTCTCCTAGAAAACCCATCCTTGGCCACTATAAACCGGATGCCTTGGCCGTGGTCATCGAGAACGGAACTGGCATTGACAGACAGGTTGGCCGTGCCGTCTCCCCGCCCTGCGCTGCCCTGCCCGTGGGTTTGCACTGAGCTGCTCCCTCAGGGACCAGCTGCCTTCAGCGCTGGCACAGGCTGGGGTGCTTGTGGGCCCCCCACAGCGTCTCCTCCCTCCCTAGATCCTACTCCTAGACCTCAGCACAGGGAACACCCTCTGGAGCCAAGCTCTGCCAAGCCTCCCTGGGGGGCCGCCTTCCACAAGCCTGCCCACTGCAGACCACCGCTCCGCCTTCTTCTTCTGGGGCCTCCACGAGCCAGACAGCGCGAACGAGACGGTACGGCAGGGACCGCTCAGGACCCTCCTGTACCAGGTGCACCGGCCACCGACACCGAGGAGTCGGCCCGGCTCAGGCCTGAAGGCCGGGGGAAGCTGCCCTGGGGCCTTCTTGGGGCTGGATGCGTGAGGATCGGGAAGCAGCGCTGTTGGGCCTGTGGGGGGGGGGTTGGGACAGAGCCCAGCGGGTGGCTCTCGAAGGCTCCAGGAAGGGTTGGGAGGGGCTGGGAGGAGGGTGTAGCGTTGGAGTCAGTGCTGTGGGGGACCCAGGCGGGGCTGCTGCACCAGAGCCTCCTCCGGGGGTGATGAGGGCCAGGGTGCCAGGGTGCCCCCAGGCACAGTGGGGCACCCGTCACTGGCTCTCACCGCAGGGGTCTGGAGCCAGCCGGCACAGTCTGTACATGTTCCACCCCACGCTGCCCCGTGTGCTGCTGGAGCTGGCCAACGTCTCTGCCAACATCGTCGCCTCTGATGGTGAGCGTGGCCCCGGCTGGGCGCCCCGCCAGTGGTCTGCCCTCGCCTCCTGCCAGGGGCCTGGGGGACCTGATGGCCGTGTCCCCACAGTGGTCCTGTTCGAGCCGAGCCGCCATGCTGCGTACGTCCTCCTGACGGGCCCAGCCAGCTCGGACAGGCCCGGCCTGGTGTCTGTGACCAAACACAAGGTGCGGGACCTCGTCCCTGGCAGCAGAGTGGTCCGGCTGGGGGAGGGTGGGCCGGACAGTGACCAGGCCGTCAAGGACCGGTTCTCCCAGCTGCGGTACCGGAGTGAAGCCTAGGGGGCGTCAGCTGGAGCTCGTAGGAGACACGGCTGCAGCCGCTGCCGGCCCTTCCCTCCGTCTGCTCGCCGACTCCTACGGCCTCCAGGGAGCCGGGACCTTGCGGGGCCCCGGAGGTGCGTGCCTGGGCGAGGGCTCTCGCTGCGTGCCCTGTTTGCCTCACTGTGGTGTCCCACGTCCACTTGGGGCAGAGCATGGCCCCTGGTGCCCTCACCTTCCTGGCTGCCCCTCAGGAAAGCGGCCAGGACCTGTGCTCCCCAAGTCTCCCTGCAGGAGCCCCCTCCTCTCCTCTGCACTGTCGCACGGGGTGGCCACGGGGTGGCTTGGGGCAGCTGCAGCCCTTCCAGCTTGGTGGGCGGACCCTGGGGCACCTGTGGCCTGGCCCAGGCAGAGCAGGGATCTGCCCCGGCCCGTGAGGCTGGCTGCTGCTGTGTCCTAAGGAACCGGCCCCCGGCCCTCGGTCCACACTGGAGCTGGGCGTCCTCACGAGGCCCCAGTGCCCCTGGCCTGGTGAGTGCCTCCCCCACCCCGGCGTCCACCTGACACGCCACTCACCTCTGTGCCTTGCTGCCCGAGGCCTCAGGGCAGCTGATGGCTCTGTGTGGCTCGGCGCCGCCCGGACAGCAGAGCACTCGCTTTGTAGCCAAAGCAGCCGTCACCACAGGAAACCAGAATAAACGACTTGCACTGTGTGAAAAGGCCGTGGTCAGCTGTGAGCTGGTGTGTGTCTCCCTGGCCCCAGGAGATGGATGCCTGTGTGCCGAGTCCTGACTGAAGCCAGCCTGCCAGCCCCGGGGTCAGGAGCTGGGCCAACCAGCCAGCCCCGGGGTCAGGAGCTGGGCCACCCCAGCCAGCCCCGGGGTCAGGAGCAGGGGCCACCCAGCCAGCCCCGGGGTCAGGAGCAGGGGCCACCCAGCCAGCCCCGGGGTCAGGAGCTGGGCCACCCCAGCCAGCCCCGGGGTCAGGAGCAGGGGCCACCCAGCCAGCCCCGGGGTCAGGAGCAGGGGCCACCCAGCCAGCCCCGGGGTCAGGAGCTGGGCCACCCAGCCAGCCCCGGGGTCAGGAGCAGGGCCACCCAGCCAGCCCCGGGGTCAGGAGCAGGGGTACCCCAGCCAGCCCCGGGGTCAGGAGCTGGGCCACCCCAGCCAGCCCCGGGGTCAGGAGCAGGGCCACCCAGCCAGCCCTGGGGTCAGGAGCTGGGCCACCCAGCCAGCCCCGGGGTCAGGAGCTGGACCACCCCAGCCAGCCCCGGGGTCAGGAGCAGGGGCCACCCAGCCAGCCCCGGGGTCAGGAGCAGGGGCCACCCAGCCAGCCCCGGGGTCAGGAGCTGGGCCACCCCAGCCAGCCCCGGGGTCAGGAGCAGGGGCACCCCAGCCAGTCCCGGGGTCAGGAGCTGGACCACCCCAGCCAGACCTGTGTGGTCAGGAGCTGGGCCACAGCCTTCTCAGCAGAGCCTGCAGGGGTCTTACCCCGAGGCCTCCAGCCCCACGAGAGTGCATGCACCCCTGGGTGCCAGGGTGTGGCCTCCATGCCCCACATCCTCGGTGGGCAGGCAGTGGGAGGGCGGGGGTGAGCTCTGACCGCCACCCAGCAGGAGGCAGCTTGGCACCGCCTCAGTGGTGGGCGGCTCGGGCGCTGTTGGCGGAGCCGCAGGAGTTCCCAGGCCGCAGCCGCCCAGGTCCTAGGAAGCAGAAGTCCACTGTCGCTGAAGATGAGGCTCCTCACACACAGCCTGGACACGGGATGCAGTCACCTGCCGGCCACTGGGGACAAGCAGCCTTGCCCCACGGGCAGTGCTGGGGGCCCTGGTCCAGGTGTCCCCGAAGCCCTTCCTCCCTCTTGGGTCCTGGCATCCTCTGGCTGGGGGCCTCTCCTCCCAGCGTCCTCTCTTGGGTCCAGGCATCCTCTGGCTGGGGCCCTCCTCCCAGCGTCCTCTCTTGGGTCCAGGCATCCTCTGGCTGGGGCCCTCCTCCCAGCGTCCTCTCTTGGGTCCTGGCATCCTCTGGCTGGGGCCCTCCTCCCAGCGTCCTCTCTTGGGTCCTGGCATCCTCTGGCTGGGGCCCTCCTCCCAGCGTCCTCTCTTGGGTCCAGGCATCCTCTGGCTGGGGGCCTCCTCCCAGCGTCCTCTCTTGGGTCCAGGCATCCTCTGGCTGGGGCCCTCCTCCCAGCGTCCTCTCTTGGGTCCAGGCATCCTCTGGCTGGGGCCCCTCCTCCCTGTGTCCTCCCTCTTGGGTCCAGGCATCCTCTGGCTGGGGCCCTCCTCCCAGTGTCCTCCCTTGGGTCCAGGCATCCTCTGGCTGGGGGCCTCTCCTCCCAGAGTCCTCTCTTGGGTCCAGGCATCCTCTGGCTGGGGCCTCCTCCCAGTGTCCTCTCTTGGGTCCAGGCATCCTCTGGCTGGGGCCCCTCCTCCCAGTGTCCTCTCTTGGGTCCAGGCATCCTCTGGCTGGGGCCCCTCCTCCCTGTGGTCCAGCAGCGCGTGGTGCCCCCAGCTGTCTTTCCCAGGACCATGTTCCCCCAGTCCACAGCCCAGGAGGGCTGGGTCACTCACACACGGGACCTTCCCTGGAGGCTCTCACACGTGGCCCACCACAAGAGTGCACACGCACACACGTCTCACGTCCACGCCCCAAGCAGGGCCCACACAGGACGAGGGCCTGAGCATCCTTTATTTATATGCTGGAAGCTGCGCCGGTCAGCTGCACAGGAGCTGTGCGCGCCTGCACCGCGTCTGGGGAAGGGATGGGCCAGACCTGGGCCCTGCCACACTGGCCGAGCTCCACCTGCCGAGTTGGAGGGGCGGTGACGCAGTCACCGTGCGCGAATCGGGCAGAGGAGCCCCGGCCTACACCCGTGGACGTGTGCAGCGACGTCCAGGTGAGGCGGGTGCTTGCTGGCCAGCGCGACGCAGCCCGGACCGGCTCCCCAGGATCGCGGCAGGGAGGGAGCTGCTGTGGGAGCCGCGTTTCCGTGTCATGTGACAGACACTTGCAGGGATTTGCTGGCAGGTTCCCTGGATCTTGAGATGGGAGGGGCACCCAGAGCTGTCCTGCTCAGCCTGGCCTTGGCCGATGGCGCTCCATCCCTGGAGCAGTCCCTCTGGGTAGGGGAGGGTCTGCCCAGGAAGAGGAGGCAGCGGAGAGACTTGGGGTCCAAGTGAGGCAGCTGCAGGGACCCCGGCCCAAGAGGAGGCTGGGCGGCAGGGCCGGGAGGTGACCGGAAGTGAGGCCCTCCTAGTCCTCCCCGCCCCCCCCAGGGCCTGCGGTGGGGAGTGCGGGGCTGGGGCTGCAGTGCCGTGGCTTCCGCATGAACGGGAACACCCTGTGGAGGAGAAAGGGCGAGTGCTGGGTGCCCCCACACGCTTGCCCACTCCTGGGGCGGGCCGGGGCGGGGCCGGCCTGGGCTCACCGTCTCTTGGTCTCCACAGGCACCGTAGCCTCCGTCAGCAGGCCCTTGTACATGTCGGACTTGAGGAACCTCGGGTAGGAGTCCTGCACGAGACGGCGTCCAGCCCTTGACCTCCCCTCCTCTCTCAGAGGGTCCAGCCACCAGTCCCCAGTGGACGGGGTGCTGGAGGGCAGAGCTGGCACCCACCCAGCGGGGCAGGGCCTGCCGTCCACGCGTGCCAGACAGAGAAGGCGTTGCCAGCAAGGCCCCCGGAGGCGGCTGTGGCCCAGAGGTGAGGGCAAGGGGATGAAGCCAACTCAGAAGCGCCTGTGGTGCCAGCGGCTCCACTTGCAACCCAGCTCCCTGCTCGTGCCGGGGAGAGTGGGGAGGTGGCCCCAGTGCCTCCCCCGGCACGCACGGGGCAGGCCTGGCCCAGCCCTGGCTGAGGTGGGCGTGTGCGGAGCGAGACAGCAGATGAAACCTGCTCTCTCCCCCTCTTGCCTCTGCCTTTTAAATACAGACGTTTTTAAGACGGAGGAAAGCTACAATATTAAATAGAGGAGTCGGTGACCACAACTGCTTATTTGTTTGTAAAAGAAGTGTTCAGTTGTTGGGCTGGGTGGGGAGTGGGCTGGGGAGGCCACGCCACACAGGGGCGCCGCCCCAGGAGGCCGCAGCCGATGGCCAGCAGCTGGGCCCCTGCCACTCACGTGGCAGACGCGATGGAGCTCCCGGCTCCTGGCTTCAGCCTGGCCCAGCCCTGGCTGCTGCAGGCGTCGGGGGACTGAACTAGAGGGCAGAAGAGCCCTTTGTCTGTCTGGCAAGTAAAATAAATAAAAACTTAACACCAACAGACAAGAAAGACGGCGTGACGCAGCCGGGCCGCTGGGCGGCGCCCTCCCCGCACTCAGCCGACAGGGCTCACCTTCATTTTTTTATTACTTATTTGACAGGCAGAGTTAGCCAGTGGGAGAAGTGAGAGACAGACAAAAAGGTCTTCCTTCCGTTGGTTCACCCCCCAAATGGCCTCCATGGCCGGCACTGCACCGACCCGAAGCCAGGAGCCAGGTGCTTCTCCTGGTCTCCCATGGGGTGCAGGGCCCAAGCACCTGGGCCATCCTCCACTGCACTCCCGGGCCACAGCAGAGAGCTGGGCTGGAAGAGGCGCAGCCGGGACAGACCCTGGCGCCACGTGGGATGGCGAGAGAGCCACGGCGCCGGCCCCAGGGCTCACCTTCTTCATGAGCATGTAGATGTGCAGCTGTGCGTCGTCCAGCACGTAGCGGTGAGGCCGGCACAGCCCTGCCAGGGTGCGCTCCATGGTGCGGCTGTCGATGTTGACCCAGCGGGCAGCACCGGGGGCCAGGAACTGCCTGGGGCAGGGGGCGACGGTGGCAGAGGGATCGGGCTGGGCGGATCCAGCCCGCGGTCCGCCCGTTCCCAGCCTGCCGCACTCACTGGTACACGGCGTCCACCAGAGCCGGGACCTGGGCCTGCCCTCCGTAGCGCAGCTGCTCACAAGCCTCCCAGAAGCTGAGGTTCTCCGCTGGGGGCCGGGCACCAGTCAGGGCCGCCCGGGGCTGCGGTCCCTCTGCAGGGACCCGGGGGTGCTGGGGGAAGCCTGGGGGAGGGGACGGGGCGGCCGCCTCCCTTGGGAGGCCCAGAGCAGAGGGGGTGGAGGCTTCTCACCGCTGAACTCCTTCTCCAGAAAGTCCATGAAGTGCGCCCGCCCCACGGGGTCTTCCAGGAGCTCCTGGAAGCTGAAGCCCCAGCGCTCCACTCGGAGCCGCGTTGGGGTGGCCGCCCTGGGGGCACGGGCAAGGGTCGGCCTTCCTGCAGCTCTGCCCCCTCCCCAGGCAGGGCACCTCCCACAGCCCCCCACAGCCCTGGGCTCACGTGGGCGCGTTCACGGCCCAGTAGGTGTCGTCATCCGTGACCCAGGGGTTGCTGGGCAGGCACCCAGACAGGATGGGGTCGTGCGGCCCACGCTGGCTGCTGAACTTCAGGTACCTGGTCAGGTGATACCAGGGCTGGTGCCGAGCAGAGGGGGTCGGGCTCAGGCCTGGGCTCCCCAGCTGCCCCCTCACCCACTCACGCCTCCAGGCAGACGGAGGACTTCAGCCGGTTCCGACCCAGCGCCTTCCTGGCGTACTCGATCTAGGGCGCAAGCCCCGTGGGTCGGGGCCTGGGCAGGGCAGGGCAGGGCAGGGCAGGGCAGCCCCACCCCGCCCCGCCCCCGCACCTACCTCCCATTTGTAGAAATCCAGGCTCTTGCACTGCAAGGGGACGGGGGGGGCTGTCAGAAGACGGCCACCCTCCCTAACCTGCAGCCCTGGGGTCCCCCTGGGCTCAACCCTGGCCCCAGCTCAGCTCCCTGTCCTCCAGCGGGTCTGACTCTCCAGAGACCTCTGGGAACTCGGAGTCCGGAGCTTTCCAGAATGTTCCCAAAGGCTCTCAGAGTTGCCTTGACCTTTCCAGCTGGGAGTAGCAGCACCGTCCACGCATTTCTGTGCCTCGACAACACGGTTCTGGAGCTGCACCGCGTGTCACTTGGAGTCGGGCTGCAGGTGCCACGGCTGGCCAGCGGCCGCCGTCCTCCCCACGTTTACGGGAGTGAAGGTTGGCATTTGAAGCTAGCAGGACGTGAGGGGCGACCCTGGGCCTGGGAAAGGGCTCAGAGGGTGTCTGTCTGGGCTGGGTTTCTGTTGGTTTTCCAGAGGCCACTGGAGGCTCTGATGTGGGGTGGCTGGGGCCACGGTCCTTCAAGGCACAACCCCGCTCGTCACCCCCCAAGGCCCCGCCTTCCCCTGTCCGGGGCGAGAGAGGCACAGGAGTGGAGGGGGCCGGAGGACGGGCAGATGGCAAGACAGGTGGGTGGGTGACAGCCCCCACGCGTCCCCCTGAGGGTGCGCTGCGCCCACGGCCTCAGGGCAGGAAGGGGCGGGGAGTGGCAGGCGCCCCGGCGGGCGGTGCTCACCGTTTGCAGTCGGCTGGCGGCACAGGAGCCCCTCTCTGGACCCTGCTCCAGCACGTTAGGGACCCCCGGCTGCAGCAGGGAGATGAGGTGGGGGTGTGGCTGCTGCTGCACCCAGACTCCCCCACACTGAAGCAGGGACTGACCCCGCCCCGACCCCATCCCCTCCCCACTCGCTCCCCATCGCCACCACCAGAGGGCCCACACAGTAGGGGGGCTCAAGCCACCTCCCGTGACCACGGTTCTGGGGAGGCCCCAGCCAGGAAGCCCTGACCCGTTCCCCCTGTGGGCGGCTGCCCCCTCAGCCGCGACCTTGTGACCCCTGGGATCTGAGTCACACAGCAGAACCTCCTGTCACCGGCCAGAACCCTGGCTCAGAATGGGAGCAGCCAGCACCCCGGACACCTGTTGCCCTCAGGGGCTCACCGGCGGCCTGTTCACCAGCCAGTACGCCTGCTCCTGGCACGTGATGACCAGCCTGTCCCCTCTGCGACGCTGCTTCATGGCCCTGGGAGGAACAGGAGAGCTGGGGCCAGGTGGTGCTGGCTCCAGCGTCCCTCCTCTGGCCCAAGCCCGAGCCTGGGGTGTCCCGGGGCCACCAGGGAGCCCAGCTCGGCGCTCACCTCAGCTGCTCCCTGGCCTGCGTCACCACCAGGTCCCAGGCGTGGCTGATCTTCCACTGCAGCTGGTCATAGTGCTCCTGCCAGATACGGGGTGCACAGCCCTGGGGCGGGGCCCCGCCTCCCCGGAGCGGCTGCAGGGAGTGGGGGGGGGCGTCTGGGCCAGCTGGGCCTCGGGCCTCACCTTCTCGTGGTCCAGGAGGGCGCCCCGCCTCTGGATGCTCCTCTTGGCCAGGTAGATGGCTGCAAGGACGCACGTCAAGCCTCACCCTCCGGCCCTGCCCGTGCGGCCACTCTCCTGGGACCTTGTCCCTGCTTGCCCGGCCCCTCCTCACCATAGTCCAGCTCGGAGGCTGGCCACACGGTGCTTGCCCAGAAGTACGGCGTCTGGCATGGCGCAGGGAGAAGGGTGTCCAGGATCCCGGGGCCTCCCCACCTGTTGTCACCCCACCCGCCCAGCTCTCTGGGCAGGAGCCGTCCAGGGTGGGTGGGAAGGGGTGGGGATGCCTGGGGGCAGCCTGGGGCCTGGATGAGGTCAAGGAAAGCAGGAAGGGGCTCCCCCAGTGTGGGGGCCACACCCCGAAACGGGCAAGGCACTGGGGCCCCTTGGTGGGGTGAGGAGCTGAGGACCCTAAGAGGCTAGAGTTCTGGGCAGGTGTTGTCCTCTGTGGGGTTGGGCAGACGTTTCTCTCCAGGGGATGGACACTTGTGGCCCAGGCCTTTTGGGCAAGGGAGGGACGGTGGACCCCTGGCCTCGCGGGCTCCCACCTCAGCCAGCCAGGCCCTCCCGGCGCCCCCACCCATCAGGCCGCTGGTGGAAGCCACCCGCTCCCCCTAGCCTGACCTGGAACCTGTAGGGTGTCTCGTCGGGCCGGAGCGCGAGGCTGCGGGGGTCCCGCAGAGGGTACAAGTATCCGTGCCGCACCAGCAGCGCGCCCAGGTGCAGCGCCTCTGCAGAGGGCGCAGGGGACCGCCCGGTTGTAGGCCCCGCTGCCCCCTCCCGCGCACGCCCGCCCGGGGCCGCCCCTCACCGTCCTCCGAGACGCGGAACTTCTGGGTCAGCCACTGTACCACGTCGCCGCCTGAGCGCGAGACACGGGCGCGGGTGGGGGTGGGGCGAGGCGCCCCAGGCCCGCCCCAGCCCGGCCCGACCCCGGGCGGCGTCTCACCCGCCACGGCGTGGGGGATGACGGTGATGAGCAGGCGTTGGCTCCGCATCTTCACCCCTTCGTCGGGGTCCTGCATGCTCACGACCATGCGCTCCATCTGCGCCGAGCGCCCCGTGAGGGGCTGCCCCGGCCCCGCCCCGCCCCCACCCGGCCGAGAGCCCCGCGCGCCCGGGCCCCGGACCCCGGGCAGCGGCTTAGACCCGCGGAGCGCCGGGCCGCGGGGGTCCCGAGCCCGCCAGGGCAGCCAGGGCCGCGCGCGGCGCCCACCTTGTCCAGATTCGGCCTCTGCGCGCGGGCGCGCCCGCCGGCGGCCATGGTAGCGGCAGGTGGCGCAGTCCGGTCCCGCCCCGCGCCGGGTTAATCCTATGGCCACGCGCCAGCGACCCCGAGTGTCCCCCACGCACGGAGCCCTCAGAGCCGGGTTGTAGGGGTGGCTCTCCGAGGGTCGAGGGGTTGGTGGCGGAGGCTCACCTGGGGTGGGCTCCCCCTCCCCGGGTAGGGTCTTGGGGAGGGGCATTTGTTGACAGCCGCCTGGGGTGGAAAGAGTGGCCTGGGGCCCAGCTCAGATGTGGTCAGGGGTCACCGCCGCGGGTGTGGCACTGCTGTGACCGCTGTGGTGGGAGAGTGATAGGGCAGGGAAGATGGGGACGCCCATGGCCATCCCCTGCCGGCCGCAGAAATGCCTTCAGTGGAATGGGGGGGGGGCTGTGCGGGCGGGGCCCGCGAGGAGGCCAGGTGGAGGGGGTCATGGTGGTGGGGGTCATGCTGTTATGAGTGTGGGAGCTCTGGCGGGGGTGAGATGGCCAGACTGGCCGGTCTCGTCCCTGTGAGTCAAGAAGGATCTTCGGAATTAAGCTCCTGGCTCCGGGCCTTGCTGGGGTCCCCCAGGCTGAGCGCAGAGTGGGGGCTGGGCAGGCTGCCAGGCACCTTTGGCTAAGAGAGGGGGGCTTTCGCCAGCAGGGGAGCCCCGCACACCTCCCAGCCAGACTCACCAGCGGCCACCTCTACCTGGTGACCTGGGCAGGGAGCTGGTGCCAGGAGCCTACTAACGAGGCCATCTTCAAGTCCAGTGGGGACAGAGGGGCTGGAGGGGACCCTACCCCCCTGCCCCTTGCCCAGGGGAGCAGGCTGTCCTGGGCCTGGGCGTCCACCAGTAGCCTTTCCTTGGCGAAGGGGAGGCTGGGGCCAGCCTTAGGCAGCTTGCAAGCAGGTAAATGTCCAAGGGGACCTTACTGGGGGGGCCGGCTCTGTGTGAGTGACTGTGGGGACAGCTGTCCTCAGGCCTGGTGCCCAGGACCGGCCGCTCAGACAGGACAGGTTATGTCAAACCCTGCTGGCCCCAGAGCATGGGATGGGGCCAGGCTGGGGCTGCTCCTTTCTCAGGCCCTGCCCCCCTTGGGTCCCCCAGTGGCCAGGTGAGGTTGGGTGTCCAGGTTCGCTGCCGCCCAGCACTGCGGTGCAGGGTCTATTTGGCCTCACTGCCCTCCTCTTCCCAGAACAGGCCCTGGGAAACTGAAGAGACCCCCCCCCCCATGCGCACTCACACAGGGCCAACCCCCCAGGAAGCGTCTTGGTCGTGTGTCTGGCTTCTGTGAGCCGCTGGGGCTGTGGGGCCGGCCCAGGCTCTGGGAGCGCCGAGCGCGGGGCCCCAGGTGTGGCCTGCACCACCTGCTGATAATGAGAGCCCGGGGACGCGGTGCGGGGCGCGCACCTGCTCCGAACGGCGCCGCCCGCCCCGCCCAGAGGGCTTCCCGGGAGACCCTCAGCCTCTCGCCGGCGCCGTGGGGGTGGGGCGGCCGGAGCGGGTGCGGCCGGGCGACGGGGACCGTGACGGCAGCTGGTGTGGAGCCGCGGTCGGGCGCTCGGTGCGGGCAACGGGCGTGTCGCGGCGGGGACGGCCCGGTGCCAGCGCCGTGCGGGCGACACGCGCGTCTCTGCGGGGCTGCGCGGGGTCCGCGGAGCGGCTGGGGGCGCGCGGCGCGGGCGCGGCGCTGGGCGCGGGGGGCGCTGCCGGCCGGGATGAGCTCACCGCAGTCGCGCCGGGGCTGAGCGCCGAGCCGGGCGGCGGCTCCGCGGCGGGCCGGGCCGCGCGCCACCATGCTGGGCCTGGACGCGTGCGAGCTGGGGGCGCAGCTGCTGGAGCTGCTCCGGCTGGCGCTGTGCGCCCGAGGTGAGCTGCCGGGCTGGGCGGTCGGCCACGTGGGCGGGGGGCTAGGACCGGGGCGGGGGCCGTTCCCCCGCCACCCCCCGCGCGAGAACTTTGGGGGCGCGCGCGGGGCCCTCAGGCTGCGGATGGGGAAGGAAGCCAGCAGGGGCTGGGCCTGTCTGTGAGGCAGGGGCAGCAGGTTCCGGGGGGGCCCCTCTCCCCTAGGTGGGGCCCGTAAGGGCTGGAGGCAGTGGGCAGGCGCTGAGACATCCCTGCCTCCAGGGGGAAGGGGCTACAGGAGAGGGCGGGAGGGGGGCCCAGGTATGGAGGGAAGAGCTGGGGGGTGGGGAGCCCCCGGAGGCCGGTGTTGTGGGAGCTGGTCTTGGCCCCCCCCACCTCGGCCTTGGATGAGGCGCGCCAGGGACCGGGTGGCCTCGGGCTGGGCCGGGTCTCGGGTGGGGGCGGCAGTTTGGTGCTGGAATGCCAGGGTCAGCCGTGGGCAGCTGCTCACGCACCTTCCCTGACCGGCAGTCCTCCTGGCCGACAAGGAGGGTGGGCAGTCGAAGCCTGACGAGGCGCTGGAGGAGGGGGTGCTGGACGAGGCCGTGCCGGGCTACCAGGCCCCGCGCAGGAAGAGCCTGCTGGAGATTCTGCAGCTGGACCCGGGGGACGCCAGCCTGCTCACGTACAAGCGGGTGCTGCTGGGGCCCCCGCCGCCTGTCGTGGGTACGGTTCAGGCCCTGGCCGTGGCGGGAGGCGGCGGGGCGGGCGGGCGGGCGGGGCACCCTGCAGACCCCATCTCTCCCCAGACCCCAGCCTGCCCGACGTGCAGGTGATGAGGCTGACGCTGCTGTCCGAGCAGGCCCCGGCGCCCGTCACCATGGACCTCACAGGTGGGTCCTCCGCCGAGCCCCCAGGCCCCGGGCTCCGGGGTGGGGGCTGCCCCGGGTCTCACTGGCCGCCTCCCCTGGCAGGAAACCTGGCTGCGCTGAAGGACCAGGTGTTTGTGCTGAAGGAGGGCGTGGATTACAGAGTGAAGATCACCTTCAAGGTGAGGCAGCGGGGGCCGGGGCCGCGCTGGGGCCGCGCTGGGGCCGCCCCGGGGCCGCCCCGGGGCTCCGGCTGAGCGGCTCTGCCCCCGCCCAGGTGAACAGGGAGATCGTCAGCGGCCTCAGGTGTGTGCATCACACCTACCGGCGCGGCCTGCGTGGTAAGGTGGCACAGCGGGGGCGGGGCGGGGGACGGACGCGGGCAGGGGGCGGCCCCTGACGCCCTCGCCCTCCCCCACCCCCAGTGGACAAGGCCGTCTGCATGGTGGGCAGTTACGGCCCCAGGGCCCAGGAGTACGAGTTTGTGACGGCCGTGGAGGAGGTGCCGCGGGGCCTGCTGGTGCGGGGCCCCTACATGGTCTCCTCGCTCTTCACGGATGACGACAGGACCAGACACCTGTCCTGGGAGTGGGGCCTGCTCATCTGCCGGGACTGGGCCGACTGAGCCCCCAGGCTGCCCCCCACCTCCTGCAGTTGCTGCACCGGGACCCCCCACCCCCGCCCTCTGTCCGTGGCCCTGCCCCCGCTGCCCCTTGGGCCTGCTGCTGTGCCCTGAACAGCCCTATTAAACGTTCCCCTGTCTCCGTGCCTTGGTGTCGCCTCTTTCTGCTCCCTCCCTCATGGGGGTGGGGGCTCTCGGGCCTTATCTTCCCCGCGAGTGGGCGGGCGCCACGTGGCGGCTGCTGCCTGGCCCCTGGGCCCCTTATCTGCCCCTGCGCTGCAGGGCCAGCGCTGCCATGGAGTGCCAGCTCCTGCCCGTGCTGCTGCTGCTGCTGCTGGGGGCCTCTGGGCTCCGAGGACAGGGTCAGGGCCCCGAGGAGGGGCCCCCCGAGGAGGAGCCCCCCGAGGAGGATGGGGTCTTGGTGCTGACCCAGCACAGCTTGGACAGGGCCCTACAGGAGCACCGCGCCCTGCTGGTGGAGTTCTGTGAGTGCCTGGGACCAGTGGGGCGGGGACAGGCAGGGTTTGCGCCAGGGCTCCCCAGGAGGGCGCTGGACCTGGGCACGTGGAGGTGCATACCGAGGCCCCAGGTAGAGGAGCACCCGCAGGGCTGGCCAGGTGGCCCGGGGTCGAGGTTGGGCTCCCGGGGACCTGCACACGCCTTGGGCTCCTCCAGGCCCCTTCAGCAGCCTGGACACCATTCCCAGCCTCGGGGCTCACCAGGCAGCCCCACGGAGCCTGGACCCCCAGCCTAGACCTCGCTGGTCCCTACAGCCAAAGCCTCCGGTCTAGGGTGCTCTGCCCGACTGTGGCAAGCCTCGGGGCCCCTGGGGAAGCCAAGTGTGCTCAGAACACGCTTGCTCCCCTGGACCCGACCCCAAGGGGCAGCTGTGGCAGGCCGGGGGTGCCGAGTGCCCGGGAGCTCACGGCCCTGTCCCCTAGACGCCCCATGGTGTGGGCACTGCCAGGCCCTGGCCCCGGAGTACAGTAAGGCAGCTGCCTTACTAGCGGCCGAGTCGGCCCGGGCCACGCTGGCCAAGGTGGACGCGGCCGCAGAGCCCGAGCTGGCCAGGGAGTTCGGCGTGACGGAGTACCCCACGCTCAAGTTCTTCCTCGACGGGAACCGCACCCACCCGGAGGACTACACAGGTACGGGGCGGGCTCGGTGCAGGCAGGAGGCGGCGCTGGGCCTGGGCTGAGGGGACTCTCCACAGGGCCCCGGGAGGCCGAGGGCATCGCGGAGTGGCTGCGGCGGCGGGTGGGGGCCAGTGCCACCCGGCTGCAGGACGAGCAGGGCGCCCAGGCGCTGATTGACGCCGGGGACGTGGTGGTGGTCGGATTCTTCCAGGTAGGCTGAGGGGCGGAGCCCGGGCGGGGCTCGGTGCTGGCGCCAGCGCCGGCCTCACGGGGTCGGGCCCTTAGGACCTCCAGGACGAGGACGTGGCCACCTTCCTGGCCCTGGCCCAGGACGCCCTGGACATGACGTTCGGCCTCACTGACCGGCCACAGCTCTTTCAGAAGTTTGGCCTCACCGAGGACACCGTGGTCCTCTTCAAGAAGGTGGGGCTGGGCCGGGGTGGGGGGGCCGGGGCTGCTGCCCCCCACCCGGCCCCCCACCCTTCACCGACCTGCCTGGTGTCCAGTTTGATGAGGGGCGGGCCGACTTCCCAGTGGACACAGAGCTGGGGCTGGACTCGGGAGACCTGTCCCGCTTCCTGGTCACCCACAGTATGCACCTGGTCACGGAGTTCAACAGCCAGGTGAGTGCAGCGACAGGTGCGGCCAGGGGACAGCAGGAGCGGGGTGTCCCCAGGAGTGACGCGTCCACGCCCCACAGACGTCCCCCAAGATCTTCGCCGCCAAGATCCTCAACCACCTGCTGCTGTTCGTCAACCAGACGCTGGCTGCACACAGGCAGCTCCTGGAGGGCTTCCGGGAGGCGGCCCCTCCGTTCCGGGGACAGGTACGGGGGGGGGGGGGGGTCGGGAGGGCAAGGCGGGCGGTGGCAGGGCCAGGGCCCGCACGCACTGCTGCCCGCAGGTGCTGTTCGTGGTGGTGGACGTGGCTGCGGACAACAGCCACGTGCTGCAGTACTTCGGCCTCAAGAGCGAGGAGGCCCCCACCCTGCGCCTCATCAACATGGAGACCTCCAAGAAGTACGCGCCGGCGGCCGGGGAGCCCGTCACGGCGGCAGCCGTCACCACTTTCTGCCGGGCTGTCCTCGGCGGCCAAGTGCAGGTCCCCTGCTGGACTGCCCACTGCGGGGGTGGGGGGTGGTCGCTCTGGGGGCCCCCCGTGAGCACTGGCCTGGCTCCCCAGCCCTACCTCCTGAGCCAAGACGTGCCCCCTGACTGGGACCAGCGGCCAGTGAAGACCCTCGTGGGCAAGAACTTCGAGCAGGTGGCTTACGACGAGGCCAAGAACGTGTTTGTCAAGTTCTGTAAGTGCCGCAGGCGGGGGGGGGGGGGGGGGCTCGGCGGGCGCGGCACGGAGCCCAACACCCGTGTCCTAGATGCCCCGTGGTGCAGCCACTGCAAGGAGATGGCCCCGGCCTGGGAGGCGCTGGCTGAGAAGTACAGGGACCGCGAGGACATCGTCATCGCAGAGCTGGACGCCACGGCCAACGAGCTGGAGGGCCTGCGCGTGGCCGGCTTCCCCACCCTCCTGTACTTCCCCGCGGGGCCGGGCCGGAAGGTGAGGCGGGGGCGGTCGGCCGAGCACGGGGCGGGGCAGGCCTGTCCTCCAGGCCCCTCCTCCACCTCTCCCCCTCCCCCTCAGGTGATCGAATACAAGAGCAGCCGGGACCTGGAGACCTTCTCCCAGTTTCTGGACAGCGGGGGCGAGCTGCCCGCCCCCACCGAGGAGCCTGCAGCCCCCGTGCCGGTGGGCACCCCCGCCCAGGGGTCCAGGCCTCACCCTGAGCCCTGGCCCGGCAGGCAGGCAGGCAGGCAGGCAGGCAGGCAGGGCAGCGCTCTGAGCTGGCCTCTCTGCCTCTCTCTTCTCTAGGAGCCACCGGCCAACTCCACGGTGGAGCCCAAGGAAGAGCTGTAGGCGGCCTGGCCCCCTCCGCACCCCCTCCCGGGGCGGCCCGGCCCCCTCCGCACCCCCTCCCGGGGTGGCCTGCTCCCAGCTGTGAATAAAGAGGTTGAGTTCTGGACGTGTGCGTGGTTCCTGGGCCCCTGGGCAGAAGTCGAGCCAGGCCCAGGGGGTCCCTAGTCCAGAGCCGGCCACTGCGCCCCAGGGTCCCCCCGCTGTGCCAGGAGCTGGCCAAGGACGTGTGCCCTCAGCAGGCCCCTGCAGCGAACAGGTGTGTTCCACACCAGAGCAGGTTCAAAAACTTTTATTTCATTATTATCCAAGTACCTTTGAAAAGACCATTGTACAAGTCAGCGCATGAAAAACGGGCCTGGGAACTGTACATATTTACACGTGGCCAGGGGCTGCAGGGCCGGCTCCGGCGCGGCTCTCACAGTGGCAGGCGAGAGACGGCTGGCGGAAGGCACTGGGTGGCACGTACAGTCCAGAGACGCGCGGGGACTCCTGGGCCGGGCCAGCCGAGCGGGGACACCAGTGGCCGGCCAGACTCTCCGAGTATTGCTATGGGAAGTGGATGGGCCCCTCCTGGGGCCGCACGGGGCAGGCGGCTGTTCGTCAGCCAGACGCTGGCTGCACACAGGCAGCTCCTGGAGGGCTTCCGGGAGGCGGCCGCCCCGGCGCGGGCTCAGTCGACCTTCTCCACCTTGCCGACGACCTTCTCCTCGAAGACGGGCAGCACGGCCTCGTCTTCGCGCACCTCCTCGAACACCACTCCACAGTCGAACTCGTCACTCACCTTCTTGAAGTAGTATCTGTGGGGGCGGGGCGGTGAGGGCGGAGCCCGGCAGGAAGGGGCCTGCGGGTGCCCAGCCCGGGGTGGAGGCCCTGTCCCTGAGCCCGCGGCCTGCTGCCCGGGGCCTGGTGCGCCCTCGGTTCCTGCAAGGCCTGCTCAGGGGCCGGTCGTGGGGGACAGGCTGGACCTGGAGGCCACGGGGCTGGCCCGGGTCAGAGCACACAGGACCGCAGCCCCACGCCTGAGCCTGTGCTCCCACCTTCAAGAGGAGAGCCCAGAAGTGGGCGCGGGGGCCCTCAGGCCCCGTCCTGCAGCTGCTCCGTGGGAGGCTAAGTGGAGGAGGGGTCACCCCAGCCCCTTCGAGGCTCACCTGTAGCTGCCCTTCTTGGTCAGCAGCTCCTTGAACTGGCCCAGGGTGACAGCACGGCCCCTGACCAGGGTCCGGTAGGGGATGGGCTCCCCGCAGAAGTAGTACGCCACCACGATGCTGTCGCACGCCTGGCTGCCCCCGCCGGCCCCCTTCCGCTGTGACTTCGTCCTGAGGGCAGAGACGCTGGTGACCTCTGGGCTGTCGGGGCTGCATGGGTGCCACCCACCCCCGCAAGGCACAGATGGCCGGGGCGAGCACGCCGTGGCCCCCGCGCCCAGCTCGCTCCCCCCGTCACGTGGACACTCGTGCGCAGCTTCCCAGGCCAGGAGGCAGGGGTCCACCCGCTCTGGGTGGAGGGTGGGCTGTGCTACCCGGCAGCCTCACGCACGACGTAACCACGCCTGCCCCACAGCAGAGGGCCTGCTGCCCGGGCCGACAGCCTGACCGCTGGCTGCTGTCTCCTGTTCCCAGGCGAGAGCTGTGCCCTCACTGGGCCCGGCCCCTCCTCCTGCTGGGTGCACCTGAAGCTTCTAGGGCCCGAGTCCTGGCCGTCAGGCCGCGAGGGCCCCCTCCACCCTGTCCGCTTCGCAGGCCTGGGACCTTTGCCCAGGGCTGGGTTCAGGAAGGCCGCGCAGGGCGAACCCTGGAGCAGAGGCTCTGAGCGCACGCAGCAGCCCCTGGGCCTGGTAGGGGTTTGTCAAGGGTCAGCGTGGTGAGGCCCAAGGCTCAGGGGACGCCCACATGGAGGCCCTCTCGGGGCGACCCCAGCCCGCGGCTGTCTTGAAAGGCGCAGGCACGCCCGGTGTCTGGCCGGCACCACCTGCGGCAGCGGTCCCAAGCTCCCCCTGGCCGCAGGCCCCGCCGTGTTCCAGACGGGCAGAGCGCGGTCTTCGGTCAGGCAGGGCTGGGAGGCTGCTGAGACGCCCGCATCGGCCAGAGGCCTCCCGTCACCCCGTGGCCGCTCGTCACGGGTGGAGACGGGGACGGCTCTGGGGCGGCCTGAGGCCTGACCCCGCGGGGGCTCCTCCAGCCGCAGCCGCTCCGTGTCCCCGGAGCAGCAGCACAGGCCCTGGTGGGAGAGCCCTGGGGCACACGTACTCTGTCTCGGAGAGCTCCGTGTCCGACACGGCTGGCACCACGCTCAGCACAGGCACACACGCGGGCCTGGCGCAGCTGCGACCCCGCTGCATGACCTCCTGCACATGCCTAGGGAACAGCCCGTGTCAGCGGGGACGCGCCCGGTGACGCCACGCCTCCTTCCAGGCCACGGTGGGGCCAGAGGCCCCAGCACAAACGGTCGACGACGAGCGTGCTAAGGTTGTTCTGTGGCACCGACCCGGCCACGTGGTGCACACGGCCTCCCAGAGAAGTGCCCGCAGCTCCGCCCAGGGCCTGCTCCCCCACTCGGCTCTGTGAGGGCTTCCCAAGCACAACTGGACTGTCCACACCTGGGGCGCTGTGCCACAGACTGGCCTGGGCGGGGGGTGCTGGCGCCAGGCCCTTGCTCACACAGCCCCGCGCCCTGGATGTAAGACCCGGCAACTCCAGGCTGTCCAGTGGAGACGGTGGGGCCAGCAGCCTAGACCAGGCACTGAGCAGTTCTCACGGCAAGACCAAAAGCAAATCCTGCCCGAGACAACGCAGGCCCAGGCGTCAGGTCCGTTCCGCCTCCCCACCGCTCCACGAGCCCTGCTAGGTCCCAGCTCCTGCCGGACGGCACGCTGTCGGCACAGGCTCGGCTACATGGGACCACCTGGCTGCAAAGTGGTCACTCTGGTCCAGGGTCACTGCAGCCCCTTCTGACACCCAAGCTGGCGCCAGGTTCAGGGCGCGGTACAGACCCGTGGAGGGACACACGTCTCAGCCTCCAGGTGCCCAGGAGGACAGCCCCATGGACGGTGCAGCCCCAGAGCCCAGATGACCTAGGATGGACAAAAGGAGCTGGCAAGCTGAGGTCAACAGTGACCTGTGTGACAGCCCTGCGACCGGGGTGAGGGGCCGCCCCAGGGCTGTCGCAGACCCTGACCTGCCTGGGTCCCACGGGGCCAGGGCACCCAGGGAGAATGAGAGGACACAGCTAGGGGGAGAACAGACCCTTAGGGGCGAGGCGGGTGCGGCCGGAGTCTCTGCGGGATGTCTCGGAGCTGCCCAGCGTCCGCCTGTGCCTGTGCCTGTGCCACGTGCGGCTCTCAGCAGAGGCAGCCACAAGGCCCCCAGCGCCCAGCCCGCGGCCGTACCTCTGTTTGGAGGGCAGCTTGCTGGCTCTCTTCTCCTCCTCCTCCAGACGCCTGCGGGCCTCCTCCAGCTGGGTCAGGGGGTTGGGGGCGGGGTTGGGTGGCATGGTGGGGTCTTGAATGAAGAGATGAGAGGGCTGGACGGAGTTCCGGAGCTGAGCACTGACCCAGGGGTGCACGGCCCCAGGGCGTTCAATGGACAAGGGCCTGGAGCTCTCGTGGGCCTGCTGCTTCCGCACCCCAGAGGACCTTGGGGAGCAAGAGAACAAGGCACGGCAGAGCGTGAGCCCTGGCTCCTCTCACCACACGGCACGGCAGGTGTCAGGAATGAGGGCGACGTCCCACCCACGGGCTCATTCCCCGGTGCCTGCAACAGCGGGGCCGGGCCAGGCCAACGACCACCCCGTCTCCCAGGCGGCAGGTGTGCGCGTGTGGAAGCATCCCCGCTGCCCCGCACGCCAGGCGCTCCGATCTGGGACACGCGTGTGCCCGCGCTGGCTTAACCCGCCATGCTAACGCCTGTCCCTTACTTCTGACTTTGAACAGCTTTTCTGATACAAATCATGTACTATATAAAGCCCTTTCAAAAGAAAATTTTTACTGTTCAAAGAGTTGTTCAAATTCAATGCATGCTCACTGTGGAAATCCTGGGACACACAGGACACTCAAAGGCAAGCGAGGGCCCCACTGTCACAGCTTAGACACCCCCCCCACCCCGAGCTGCTGCACCCGAGCACCGCCCGCCACTCAGCCAGGAAGGCCTCTCGTGGCGAGGGCAATAGCTCCCACCGGGGGCTCCACGCTCCCAAGGCAGGCTCGGCACTGGGGGGCGGGGGTGGGGGATGGGGGTGCAGAGACCTCCTAGCCCTCAGCCGCCGCCTGGGCAGCCCTCACTGCGGGGACCCCCTAGCCCAGGGCCTGCTCTGCGAAACCCACCCAAGAGAAATCCAGACCCCAGCAGCCTGCCCCGCGCAAACCAGACCCAGACAGGAGCTCCAGAGGCCCTCAGGGGCAGGGCCAGAGCCGGCAACGCCTCACGGCCGGTCCTGCTGGGGGTCTAGGTGCAGGTGGAGATCGGGGAAACCCGGGGCTGAGGAAAGAGGGGCTGTACCTCCTCTGGGGCCCTCGTCCCTCCTGCAGGCATCACCATGAGTAGGGTCCCATGAGACGCAGGGAGAGGAGGGGTGGCACCCCGAGACCAATTCACGCAAAGCAGTAAGGGTGGGGCTGGGTGTGGGGGAGGGGTCATTCCATGCTGCTCCCAGCAGCCTCTGCCCGTGTGGGCGCCCAGCAGAGCGGAGCGCGGATCAGCGTCCCCCCAGATGGGGCTGGGATAAGCAGGTGTGCGCACCCACAGCTTCTCCCGCGGGCTGTGCGTGCAGCGAGGTCGGGTGCCTCAGCTGGGCACTCCTGCGTGGGGGTCGCCAGCCAGAAAACCAGCAACGCCCTCCCAGGAGCAGCTGTGCGGCCTGCAGGCGGGGGCGATCCTGGCCTCCCCCCAGGAGCAGCGAGTACCCCCGGCTGCCCCGCCACCGGCCCAGAGCCGGCTCCGGGGGCCTGGGCCTCGGCACTCTGCACGGCTGCGGCGGGGCGCGCGGCTCAGCGGCTCTCACCCGTGGCCGGTCTTCCGGTGCCTGCTGATCTCCTTCTCGCCCTCGATGAGCCACTGCATGATCTTCTGGTTCCGCTCCGTGTCCTCCGAGGCGCCCGGCACCTCCGCAGCCGCGTTCTTCCCAGACTCGGCCTTCTTGGCGCTTCTTCTGGAGGGCATGCCTGCTTTCCCGCTGCGGGAACAGGGACAGAGCGTCACCCCGTCCATCCACGGCCCCCACACGGGCCCCTCCCGTCCCAACAGGGCTGACCCTGGACTTGGAGGACAGAGGGTACATGGGTGTGGCCTCTGGCCGTCGGCACCACACCCACCGTGGACCTGGCCAGTGGCTCTGCCAGCTGTCCTGTTGTTGGTTTGTTTCCCCCTTGAACACATGACGTGCCCCACACCGAGAACAACGCCACGGGCAGGGCCACAGCTGAGGGGCTGCAGCCCTTGCGCTTCACCCTGCGGCCCTGCGGCCCAGGCTGGCGGCAGCTGTGGGTGTCCGGTGACTGCTGGCGGGGAAGCGCCAGCCTTCCGCAGGCACAGACAAGAGGAAGCCGTGGCGTCCACTCCCCAGTGGCTCCCCCGCACCCGACAGTGCCGCGCACGGCTCACCTGTAGGCCAGGCTGTCGCCGGCGCTGGGGGTGGCACCCATGCCCTCTGAGTGGCTGCGGGTCTTGGCTGTGTGGCTGTGCGGTTCCGGGCCCCACGCGAAGCTGCTCTGGACCCTGCGGGCAGCCTCGGCCTCCACCTGCTCCTTGGGCCTGGCTGTACTGTGGTGGACGTGGTGGTGGACGTGCCTGTGGTGATGCAGGCCGGCCACGTCCAACTTCGCCCCCGACTTGGGCATGTGCTTCCCGTGCCCCGAGGCCACGCCACCCAGCGTGGCCGACACCTTGGCCATGTGCCCGCTGTCAGGGGAGCGGTGGCCAGGGCCGGGAGACTGGCAGCCAGGGGTCCGCATGACCCGCTGCACGTGCTCGTCCAGGATGCTCTCGGGGTTCTCCTCGTGTGCGTCCCGCAGCCCGGCGCAGCCCAGGTCCACACAGCGGGCCGGGAAGTGGTGCCAGGCTGGGGCAGGAGGCAACTTGTGGCTCGCCCCTGGGGGCCCAGGGGGAAGGTCACCATCCTCTCCTTCTTCCTCCTGCGTGGGGCGAGGCAGCAAGTCACACGGGGGGTGGACAGGATGGCCCCGGCACAGTGCGTCCTGGAGGCCAGGGCCCCCAACACGTGCTGGCTCTGCAGAGGCAGCGGCTGGGCTGGGACCGAGCGCCACACCAGAGGGCTCCAGGGCTCCCCGTCCCGACTGATCCCTGCTCCCATGATGCTGGGCTGCTGGCCAGGAGCAGGCAGACTGGAGCAGGGTGAGCACGGGGCCCCTGGAGCGCAGAGGGCACATGCAGTCATGGCACTGAAGGCTCTCCATCGATTTTCTTGTTTCTTTTTTGTTATTGTTGTTGTTAAAGATTTTATTTATTTAAAAGGCAGAATTACAGAGAGAGAGAGGGAGAGGGAGATTCATTGATTGACTTCCCCAATTGCCCAACGGCCAGGTCTGGCCAGGCTAAATCCAGGAGCTACATGCAGGTCTCCCACGTGGTAGAGAGGCCCAGGCACTTAAGTCCTCCTCCGCTCCTTCCCAGGCCACAGCAGAGAGCTGGATCAGAAGTGGAGCAGCCGGGACTCGAACCGGCGCCCAGTGGGACGCCAGAGTCGCGGGCTCTAGCTTAACCCACTGCACACAATACCGACATCTCTATGTTCTTCTACGTTCGCAGCAAAGACTGCGTTTCCTTCCAATTCCTCTATTCCTGTTTGCCAAGAGAATCCTGCCCCTGCACACAGAGCTGACTCAATGCTCGCACTCGGCGGGCACACTTCTGCATCTGTTACCAGGCGTGGAAATGCACACGGTTTGGTCACACCTCAGGGTGGGTGCTGCGTGCAGTGGCACAGGTTACGCTGCGTCCCACACCCGAGTGACAGTTCAAATGCCAGCTACACTGCTCCTGACCCGCGTGCGGGCAGCACGTGGAAGACCATGTACTCCGTCTCTCCGGCTGCGCCTCTTCCTTTCAAAATAAACCAACCTTTTTAAGGTGCTGACTGAATCTGGAATCAATCAAAAAGGAAGGTGGAGCCTACGTCATCCCCTGGGTTTTATTTACCCATTTATTTTTTTTTTAATTAATTAATTTATTTGAAAGTCAGAGTTAGAGAAGGAGAGGCAGAGAGACAGAGACAGAGACAGAGACAGAGAGAGAGAGAGAGAGAGAGAGAGAGAGAGACAGAGAGAGAGAGAGAGAGGCCTTCCATCTGCTAGGTCATTCCCCAGATGGCTGCAACACCCGGAGCTGTGCCAATCCAAAGCCAGGAGCCAGGAGCCTCTTCCAGGTCTCCCACGTGGGTGCAGGGGCCCAAGCACCTGGGTCATCCTCCACTGCTTTCCCAGGCCACAGCAGAGAGTGGGATCGGAAGAGCAGCAGCCAGAACTCGAACCGGCACCCACATGGGATGCCGGCGCTTCCGGCAGGGGCTTTAACCCGCTGAGCCACAGCACAGGTCCCTTACCCATTTATTTTTAAACATTTATTTATTTATTTGCTTTATTCAAAAGGCAGAGCAAGAGAGAGAGAGAAGGGTGGGGAGACGCAAAACAATCCTCCACCTGCTGGCTACTCCCCAGGTGCCCCAGCGTCACACCTACTCAGGTCGCCCGTGCAGGTGGCAGGCCCCGACCACCTGAGCCAGCACTGCTCCCAGGGGCCCACCAGCAGGAAGTGGAGTGGAGGGCAGAGCTGGGGCTCAAACCCAGGTGCTCCAATGTGGGATGCAAGTGTCCACGCCCTGTTCTGAATGCTTTATTTATTTGAAAGGCAGAGTGACAGAAGAGAGAGAGACAGAGAGATCTTCTATTTGCTGGTTCACCCCAAGATGCCTGCAGAGCCAGGCCAAGGCCAGGAGCCAGGCCCTCCGTCTGGGTCTCTCCTATGGGTGGCAGGCCGAAACACTCAGGTCGCCATCTGCTGCCTCGACAGCAGCACTAGTAGGGAGCAGACGGGAGGCCAAGCAGCTGGCACCGACTGGCACTCGCTACGGGGTGCTGCATCACGCGCATCTAGCCCACTGACCCAATGGGGGCTGGCCCAAAAGGACATAAATGTCTTTTAAAAATATATTTATTTCAGAGGCAGAGCTACAGAGACAGACAGACAGACAGGAATTCCATCTGCTGGTTCACTCCCCAAATGGCCTCAACGGCTACAGCTGGGCCAATCCGAAGCCAGGAGCCAGGCAGGCGCTTCTTCCAGTCTCCCACATGGGTGCAGGGGCCCAAGGACTTGGGCCATCTTCTACTGCTCTCCCAGGCCACAGCAGAGAGCCGGATTGCAAGTGGAGCAGCCAGGACACCGGCACCCATATGGGATGCTGGTGCCCCCGGCGGAGGCTTAGCCCACCACACCACAGCAGCAGCCTGGATTCAACCATCTTCACTCTAGGACAAGACACTCCCTTCACCCTTGGATTTTAGTATAAGCAGACCTCAGATATCCTAAATTTCTCACAAGTGCAAAGCAAGACAAGACAGCAAGGTCTGTCAACTACAAGATCTTCAGCTGGTGCCGGGGAAGCACCAGCAGGGCAGACTGGGGCCCCGGCGGACTCCGCCTGCCTCCTGCTCCCGTTCAGGGACTTTGGGAGAGTCTTTGTCGAGGGTCCTCCCAGAGTTTTCGCCCTGTATGCTGCGCAGGTGCAGTGAGGAAGGAGACCCCCCCACACACAGGGGGCGACGGGCAGGGCTGATGCCTCGGCAGCACGGCAGTGCAAAGACCGCCGTTCACTGTAGGCTCCGGGCATCCAGCCTCACGCAGTTACTTCCCAACGTTGACTCTTGTTCTGGGGGTGGCATCGTGGTGCAGGACGTTATGGCCCTGCCTGGGACACTGCACAACGCCACAACGCCAGCACATGGGCACTGAGTCAGAGTCCCAGCTGCCCCATGAATGGCCTGGGGAAGTGGTGGAGGACGCCTAAGTGCGTGGGCCTGCACACAGGGGGAGACCTGGACAGAAACCTGGCTCCCGGCTTTCGCCTGGCCCAGTCCTGGCTGTTGAGGCCGTCTGGGGAGTGAAGCAGTGGATGGAAGACCTCTCTCTCTGTCTCTCCCTCTCTCTGCTTCTCCTTCTAACTCAAATAAGTAAATATTTTTTTAAAAACACCTGAGTTTCTTTGAAAAAAGGATCACTACTTGTAACAGATGTAAACAGAGTCACATGTTGTAACAAACAGCAGCTACGCTCAAGTTCAGCTAACGTGTCCCCGGCCAGTGTCCGTGGCACCCACCTGCACAGTGGAGGTGGGCTGGCCCAGGGCGTCTGGCCAGGTAGCTGCTGTCTTCCCTGCAGCTGGACACAGAGCCACCCATCCAGTCGCAGGCAGAGACTCCCCAAAATGAGGGAGCCTTAGGGCGCAGACACCAGAGAAGCATGCTAACACCTGCACTGACACCTGCCTTTACTGTATTTATTTATTTATTTTTTAAATTTTGACAGACAGTGAGAGAGACAGAGAGAGACAAAGGTCTTCCTTCCATTGGTTCACTCTCCAAATGGCCCCTATGGCCGGCACTGCACCGATCCGAAGCCAGGAGCCAGGTACTTCTCCTGGTCTCCCATGGGGTGCAGGGCCCAAGCACTTGGGCCATCCTCCACTGCACTCCCGGGCCACAGCAGAGAGCTGGCCTGGAAGAGGAGCAACCGGGACAGAACCTGGTACCCATACGGGATGCCGGGGCCGCAGGCGGAGGATTAGCCGAGTGCGCCACGGCGCCGGCCCTTCTCTCCCTCTTTTCCTCACTCTGCCTTTCAAACAAATAAACATTTCAAAATAGAACAAAAGGTCTTGCCCAGCAAGTCTTGGGGCCAGCATCCTAGTTTGAGCCCTGGTTTGTGAGTCCCAGCCGCTGTGCTGGGTCCCTGCCACCCACGTGCACGACCTGGCTGCAGCTCGGCCCAGCCCTGACTGTTGCGGGCATCCGGGGAGTGAACGAGCGGATGATCTTCTATCACTCTGCTTACGGAAACACACGAACACCGTGGGACACAGTGGTTCCGTCGCCGCCTGCAAAGCCAGCAATCCATGTGGGAGCTGCTGCAAGTCGTGGCTGCACCACTCTGATCCAGCTCCCTACTAATGACCCGGGACAGCGGCAGAAGATGGTCCTCCTGCTTGGGCCCCTGCACCCACGTGGACGATCCGGGTGAAGGGCCTGGCTCCTGGCTTCAGCCTGGCTCAGCCCTGGTCATTGTGGCCATCTGGGGAGTGAACACGTTGATGGAAGCACTCTCACTCGCTCTTTCCCTCTCTCTTAACTTGACTACAGAAATAAATACAATTTAAAAAACTAAAAAAAACCCAAAAAACAAAAAAGCAAGCACTTGAACAGTTGGTGTGCCTGGAAAAGCAGCATCCACCAGGGACGGACACAGAACGAGCCCAACAGCTCCGGTCACAGCGACATGCCTGGACTCCTTTCCCAGAGTTCTTCATGAGCACACTGGAAAGTTAAACGTGAACTGTGGGGCCGGCACTGCGGTGCAGTAAGTTGAGCCTCCGGCTTATGGGTGCTGGCTCGACGCAGCTGTTCCGCTTCCAATCCCGCTGCCTGCTGGTGCATCTGAGAGAGCAGCAGAGGATGGCCCAGGCGCCTGGGCCCCTGCACCTCACGGGCACCTGGAAGAGCTCCTGGCTCCTGGCTTCAGCCTGCACCAGCCCTGGCCATTGCAGCCATTTGGGGAGTGAACCAGTGGATGGAAGATCTCTTTCAAATAAAGAATTATTAAGAAACAAGCTAACTGACGGCCTCAGGCCACTCTCACAGCAAAGACGTCCACACCATGGCCTGCTGCCGTGGCGGGCGCTGGCTCTGCCGCAGCACACGACCCAGGACCCGGGGCCTAATGCCTCCTGGTTCACGGCGGCTCTGGCCCCGGCGCTAGGGTTTCCAGGTGCTGAGGATGCTCGCACCATGCCCCTCCCTCGCCCTCAACCCTTCCAGGGTTCCAGTCCCTCCCAGCCTGCCTGGCCAGCACAGGGCTCCTGAGGCCACCATGGTGCCCAGGGCAGTGTGGGAACTTCACCCCAGCCACCAGCAGAACTGCACTGGTGACGCTGCCTCTGCACAGTGGCTGTCAGGTGTCGCAGCCAGGCACCTGAACCTCAGGTATTGTGTGGGGTGGCCAGCACCCACCCAACTGGCTCTCTGCCCCCGTGGGTCCAGTGTGTCTCTAGTTGTCAGGGGGTGGGGATGGAGAGTTTAGGTGTCTGTGCTGGCAATGTGGACACGCAGACGCCTCCCTGGACAGCCGCTCTGTCTGGGAGCTCCGTCACTCCAAAGTCTGCAGAACCACACCTGGGGCTCACTCCCAGTCCCACCAGGGGTCTGCTCTCTCAGCAGAGATCACCAGCACCCAGGACACGACCACCGGGCATCCTACTAGGGAATGGGAAAAAGGCAAGAAGCAGCACCTGCCCGAGGGGTCTCACGGGTCTGAAGGGGCGTTCAGGGGACGAAGCGGTGACTCCTGGGAGAAACACTATCCACTGCAGAGGGGACGGAGGGCACCCTGGAGACCCAGCACCCTGGCAGGGAGTCACCCCTGCAAGCAAACCCCTCCCTGCACCTGCACACCAGTCTCTGCGAGCCACGGCTGAGCACAGCAGCACGGACCACACCTGAGGGTCACAGCCGCTGCTTCTGTGAGTCACTGGGGGCAAAGGGGCCTCCCACTGCAGCCTCTCAGCCCCAGAAGGGCAGGGGCATCGCAGGCGGCTGTGCTGCTCACCCCGCCCCCGCCAAGTGCTGGGATCCCCAAGGACATCTCCCTGGAGGGGCCCCAGCTCCGGGTCAGGAGTGGGTGCACAGGCAGCACGTGTGAGGGCGGGCTGCGACGCGGGGCCACTCACCATGCGGACACGCTTGAGCCGCTCCTCCAGCTTCTCCTCGGCCTCCCGCGTGCGCTGCACGGCCTCCAGCCGGTGGATGAGCTCCTCGGCGAACTTCTGCGGCTCCACACGGATCTCCTTTGGCATTCGGTAGGTGCGCTGCGGGGCACAGGCCATCAGGCGGCGCCGCCTCCACCCTCCCAGGCCCAGGACTTGAGGAGCATTGGGTGGGGGGGGCACGTGAAATCTACACGTCTTCTTTTTAAGACTGACTTATTTATCTGAAAGGCAGTTACAGGGATGAAAGGACAGAGCTCCACCTGCTGGCTCGCTCCCCGATACCTGCACCAGGGCTGGCCCGGGCCGAGGGCAGGAGCCACATGGGTGGCAGAGGCACTGAGCCCTCCATTGAGCTAGCAGCTGGACAGGAAGTGGAGCAGCCAGGACTCACATCGGCACTCACACAGGAAGCCAACGATGCAGGCAGGGTTTAACCTGCTAAGCCACAACGCTAACGCCTACATTTCAGCTTTTTTTGTTTGTTTGTTTGTTTTTTAAGATTTATGTATTTGAGAGGGACAGACAGAGAGAGATCTTCCACCTGTGGGTTTACTCCCCAGACGATCCCATGGCCAGGATTTAGCCAGGCTGCAGCCAGGAGCCAGGACACGAACTGGTACCCATACAGGATGCCAGCAGCCGCCAGCAATTTGCCAGCTCCGCCACAGCACCGGCAACCACTTCTCATTTTGAAGCAGGTGTTCACTTGCCCTGTTCACCTGAACATCAACATCCTCTCCCCCAGGCCTGAGGCCTCTTCACCCAACACTGTCCCCCAAGTGGGGCTGCTCCTTCCAGCCGGCAGCTCAGGACTCACAGCAGGAACGAGTTCTCTGGGAAGAGCTGGAGGTGGTCAGGGTTTAGGGCAGGGCGCTGGGTGAGTAGCAGGTCTGTGTTCCTACGTCAAGCGTGTGCCACACCGGACAGCGGTAGGCCTCACCAGATGGGCCTGTGTGGTCTGAGAAACGCTCCTAACACAACTGACCAGGCTGTGGCCAGCACCGGTGTCTGCATGGGGCGATCATGCCTGGGGCTCCAGATGCAAAGACCACCGAGGAGCCGAGAGGCCCAAGACGGACCAGGGCAGCACCAGCTACTGGGAGTGCCTTCTTGCAGGACACACCCAGGGCCAAGAGCGGACAGTGCTACGGGGACCCACACAGGCGCCGATGCCTGTGGACAGACAGCGAGCAACACGTGACCCAGAGCAGGGTGAAAAGCTCGTGGTCGGGGCGGCTGTGGACACTGGGGGGCCAGTGCCTCCCAACAGACCCAGGTGCCCAGCGGCTGTGTGACAGAGGTCCCGCAAGCAGCTCAGAACGACCAGCTTGAGGACCAGAAAACCAGGCTGCAAAGGAAAACTCTAGCTGACGAGAACTGCAAAACTTCCAAGGAATTAGAGAAAAGAGGCCCTGTGTGGGTGTCAGAACTCGCAGCCCACACATGCCACCTCGCCCCAAACTTCCCGCAGGTCACCTGCGCGGGTGACGGACAACCACAGAGCCACCAGAAAGCGGCATTTCCTAAGCAAAACAGACTCCAAACAGCACCCAGCAGCAGGAAGGCAGAGGAGCCACAGGCCCCGGGAGTCCAGGCCCACAGGACCCGCCCCGCCAGCCACGCCCTCACTGACGGAGCAAAAGATGTGGACACAAGCATGGGCCACTCCCGTGACCTCAGCCAGGGGCAGGACCTGCGGTGACCAGAGCACACACGGCACTCGGCTGTACTTCCCCGAGTTGGCTGTGACCTTCCAGGACCCTGGGCATCTCCTCGGTGAGCGCTGAGCTCTGTAGGCTCCAACACTGCCTAACGGACCTACTGAAGTAGCTGTGAATCTGCAATCAATCTCAAACTTGTAGAAAACCTGCAAGGACAAACAGGGTCCTTCCCAAATCTCTCAAGAGTCAGCTGCCTACATCTCTTCCCCTCCAAACTTGCTAGGATCACTTCCTGCACATGAAGACGAGCCTGCGTCCAGCCCCCACGCAGCTCAGGCCTCCTGTCCCGGCAGCTCAGAGCAGGCAGCAGCCCAGCCCTCGGCCAGCTCCGTCTCCAGCAGGCCCTCAGCCTCCTGGATGTCCGGGGCGCCGTGGCAGGGATCCAGATCCAGGCCGGGCGACGCTGCACCCGTCTCACGCGCAGACGCGGGACAGCCCTCGTAGCGACCCCGCCGTGAGAAGGTATCTGACAGCGTAGGTCCCCGCCCCACGTGTCAGTGTGCTGGACTCCTTCATCAATGCACAGGCCACTGTGTTGGCTAGGGCGGCCCCCGTGCTCGTGCAGGCAGGTTCTGGGACAAGGCGTTCTGGCTGCTATCCACGCCCACGAAGTGGCCAAGCTGACAGCCGCACCTCCTGAGCAGCCCCTGCAGTGCCGGCTCACGCGTCAGCACAGGAAGCCCAAGTGGAACAGGGTGGCTCAGCTCAGGCCCAGACTGCTGCAGACACACCCAGGCCATCTGCAGCACACACACCTGCACGTACCTGCTGCCTACAGGACTGACTGACAATCTCAATGGCCAGCTTCAGGCAACTGCCACGGCGGGCGCTGCCACAGGCCAGGTCACTGCTCGCAGCACTGGTGCCCTACCCGTATCAGAGCGCGGGCTCCAGTCCTGACCGCTCTGCTTGGACCCCGCTCCCTGCTAATGTGACAAGGAAAGCAGCAGAAGATGGCCTGCCACCCGTGTGGAGACCTGGGTAGAGTTCCTGGCTGACTTCCGCGGTTGCTGCCATTGGGGACAGAACCAGCAGGTAGATCTGTCTCTCCCTCTCTGCGTCACTCTGGCTCTCGAATCAGTAAATCAACTTTAAAACAGAGTGACGTTGGTGCTGAGACCTCGCACTTCACCTCGAGCAGCAGCACAGGCACTAAGCCGCGCCACGGGGCCGGCAACCACGCAGGGCCCGGCTCCCAGCTGGCGAGGGAGGCTCAGAGCTGCCCTCCCCCAGGGAGAACACGTCCTGCCACCCTGCAGAGGCGAACCCACACTGCTGCTGGCCCTGCCGCCCGCAGTCAGCAGGCGCAGGGCACAGCTCACACCCAGGGCCCGCCCAAGCACAGAAGCCAGGCAAGTACGTGCCACTGCCAGCGCCCCTGCACGGTGAGGGCTCAGCCCTGCTTATGCGATGTGAGGTAGGTGGGGTGGGTGGGGGATTGGGGCTGTACTCACGGGGATGTGAGGGGGGTAGGGTGGGGGATTGGGGCCGTACTCACGGGGATGTGAGGGGGATAGGGTGGGGGATGGGGCTGTACTCACGGGGATGTGAGGTGGGGTGGGGGGGGATTGGGGTGTACTCACGGGGATGTGAGGTGGGGTAGGGGGAATGGGGCTGTACTCAAGGGGATGTGAGGGGGTAGGGGGGGATTGGGGTGTACTCACGGGGATGTGAGGGGGGTAGGGGGGGATTGGGGCTGTACTCAAGGGGATGTGAGGGGGTAGGGGGGGATTGGGGTGTACTCACGGGGATGTGAGGGGGTAGGATGGGGGATGGGGCTGTACTCACGGGGATGTGAGGGGGTGGGGGGGGACTGGGGCTGTACTCACGGGGATGTGAGGTGGGGTGGGGGGGGATTGGGGTGTACTCACGGGGATGTGAGGTGGGGTGGGGGGGATTGGGGCGGGCTGTACTCACGGGGATGTGAGGGGGGTGGGTGGGGGATGGGGTGTACTCACGGGGATGTGAGGTGGGGGATGGGGCTGTACTCATGGGGATGTGAGGTGGGGGGGGGATTGGGGTGTACTCACGGGGATGTGAGGTGGGGGGGGGATTGGGGCTGTACTCAAGGGGATGTGAGGGGGTAGGGGGGGATTGGGGTGTACTCACGGGGATGTGAGGGGGTAGGATGGGGGATGGGGCTGTACTCACGGGGATGTGAGGGGGTAGGGGGGGATGGGGCTGTACTCACGGGGATGTGAGGTGGGGTGGGGGGGGATTGGGGCTGTACTCACGGGGATGTGAGGTGGGGTAGGGGGGGGGATTGGGGTGTACTCACGGGGATGTGAGGTGGGGGGGGGGATTGGGGTGTACTCACAGGGATGTGAGGTGGGGTGGGGGGGATTGGGGCTGTACTCACGGGGATGTGAGGGGGGTGGGTGGGGGATGGGGTGTACTCACGGGGATGTGAGGTGGGGGATGGGGCTGTACTCATGGGGATGTGAGGTGGGGGGGGATTGGGGTGTACTCACGGGGATGTGAGGTGGGGGGGGATTGGGGTGTACTCACGGGGATGTGAGGTGGGGTGGGGGGGATTGGGGCTGTACTCACGGGGATGTGAGGGGGGTGGGTGGGGGATGGGGTGTACTCACGGGGATGTGAGGTGGGGGATGGGGCTGTACTCACGGGGATGTGAGGTGGGGGGGGGGATTGGGGTGTACTCACGGGGATGTGAGGTGGGGGGGGGATTGGGGCTGTACTCACGGGGATGTGAGGGGGGTGGGTGGGGGATGGGGTGTACTCACGGGGATGTGAGGTGGGGGATGGGGTGTACTCACGGGGATGTGAGGTGGGGGATTGGGGCTGTACTCACGGGGATGTGAGGGGGGTGGGGGGGATGGGGCTGTATTCACGGGGATGTGAGGGGGGTAGGGGGGTATTGGGGCTGTACTCACGGGGATGTGAGGTGGGGGGATTGGGGCTGTACTCACGGGGATGTGAGGTGGGGTGGGGGGGGATGGGGCTGTACTCACGGGGATGTGAGGTGGGTGGGGGGGATTGGGGTGTACTCACGGGGATGTGAGGGGGGATGTGAGGGGGGGGATTGGGGTGTACTCACGGGGATGTGAGGGGGGGATGGGGCTGTACTCACGGGGATGTGAGGGGGTAGGGGTGCCCGGGCTGTACTCACGGGGATGTGAGGGAGGGTGGGGGGGGATGGGGTGTACTCACGGGGATGTGAGGGGGTAGGGGGGATGGGCTGTACTCACGGGGATGTGAGGGAGGGGCACCCGCCCGTTGACCTGGACGCTCTCCTGCATCTCTCTGCGGTGCTGCTTGCGCATCCTGTACGGCGGGATCCCATCCCTGTGAGGAGAAAGGGGCCCGTGAGCTCAGGGGGACGCGCTCAGCGAGCTCCTAGGCCTGACCGTCCACAGGCAGCTGATGGCAACGGCGGCTCACACCACACACAGGGCAGCAAAGCCCAGGGCCACCCCGTGTCTGCCAGCGTTCACACCCACACACACAGGACAGCAAAGCCCAGGGCCACCCCGCGTCTGCCAGCGTTCACACCCACACACACAGGGCAGCAAAGCCAGGGCCACCCCGTGTCTGCCGGCGTTCACACCCACACACACAGGGCAGCAAAGCCCAGGGCCACCCCGTGTCTGCCAGCGTTCACACTCACACACACAGAGGACAGCAAAGCCCAGGGCCACCCCGTGTCTGCCAGCGTTCACACCCACACACACAGGGCAGCAAAGCCAGGGCCACCCCGTGTCTGCCAGCGTTCACACCCACACACACAGGGCAGCAAAGCCCAGGGCCACCCCACGTCTGCCAGCGTTCACACCCACACACACAGGGCAGCAAAGTCCAGGGCCACCCCGTGTCTGCCAGCGTTCACACCCACACACACAGGGCAGCAAAGCCCAGGGCCACCCCGTGTCTGCCGGCGTTCACACTCACACACACAGGGCAGCAAAGCCCAGGGCCACCCCGTGTCTGCCGGCGTTCACACCCACACACACAGGGCAGCAAAGCCCAGGGCCACCCGTGTCTGCCGGCGTTCACACCCACACACACAGGGCAGCAAAGCCCAGGGCCACCCCGTGTCTGCCGGCGTTCACACCCACACACACAGGGCAGCAAAGCCCAGGGCCACCCCGCGTCTGCCGGCGTTCACACCACACACACAGGGCAGCAAAGCCCAGGGCCACCCCGCGTCTGCCGGCGTTCACACCACACACACAGGGCAGCAAAGCCAGGGCCACCCCGTGTCTGCCGGCGTTCACACCCACACACACAGGACAGCAAAGCCCAGGGCCACCCCGTGTCTGCCGGCGTTCACACCCACACACACAGGGCAGCAAAGCCCAGGGCCACCCCGTGTCTGCCAGCGTTCACACCCACACACACAGGGCAGCAAAGCCCAGGGCCACCCCACGTCTGCCAGCGTTCACACCACACACACAGGGCAGCAAAGCCCAGGGCCACCCCACGTCTGCCAGCGTTCACACCACACACACAGGGCAGCAAAGCCCAGGGCCACCCCGCGTCTGCCGGCGTTCACACCACACACACAGGGCAGCAAAGCCAGGGCCACCCCGTGTCTGCCGGCGTTCACACCCACACACACAGGACAGCAAAGCCCAGGGCCACCCCGTGTCTGCCGGCGTTCACACCCACACACACAGGGCAGCAAAGCCCAGGGCCACCCCGTGTCTGCCAGCGTTCACACCCACACACACAGGGCAGCAAAGCCCAGGGCCACCCCACGTCTGCCAGCGTTCACACCACACACACAGGGCAGCAAAGCCCAGGGCCACCCCACGTCTGCCAGCGTTCACACCACACACACAGGGCAGCAAAGCCCAGGGCCACCCCGTGTCTGCCGGCGTTCACACCCACACACACAGGACAGCAAAGCCCAGGGCCACCCCGCGTCTGCCAGCGTTCACACCACACACACAGGACAGCAAAGCCCAGGGCCACCCCGTGTCTGCCAGCGTTCACGGGGCCTCTGACCAAGCTGAGCTGCGCTTGGGAAATGGCAGCCTGAGGCCTGCTTCTGGAGTCTGAGAGCTAAGTGTGCCCTCGCATTTTAAGGGTGAGGGACACGAGACACGTGTTGTGAAGCCCTGCTGCACAGCCTGGGCCAGGCAAGGTTTGCTGCGTGGAGGGGGACAGCCAGATAGAAGGGAAACACTTGAGGCTTGAGAGATGGGCAAGCCGGACAGCCCAGAGCCCTGAGAAAGGGAGGCGATGCCCAGTCCAGCACTGTGCTGCCCTCCAGGCAAAGCCACAGAACAGGGCGCCCTGGGGGTCAGGGCTCGGCCACAGCCCTTCAGAAGGTCAGGACAGGGCAGGCGTTTGGCCCAGCGGCCCAGCCGCCACGTGGGACGCCCACATTTCCTAACACATGGCTGGTTCAAGTCACGGCTGCCTATAATGTGCACCCTGGGAGGCAGCAGGTGATGGCTCAACTACTTGGGCACCTGCCACCCACATGGTAGACAAAGAGGCTCCTGACTTTGGTGTGGCCCAGCCCTGGCCATTGTGGCCATCTGGGGAGTGAACCAGTGGATGGAAGACCTCTCTCTCCCACTCTCTTCTCTCTTTAACTTTCAAATAAATAAATAAATATCTTAAAAAGAAAAAAACCCACATACTTTGGAGCCGAGTTCTATTTTTTTTTTAAAGATTTATTTTATTTATTTGACAGGCAGAGTTACAGAGAGAGGTAGAGACACAGAGAGAGGTCTTCCATCTGCTAGTTCACTCCCCGGATGGCCACAACGGCCGGAGCTGCACTGATCCGAAGCCAGGAGTTTCTTCCGGGTCTCCCATGCGGGTGCAGGGGCCCAAGGACTTGGGCCATTTCTAGCTGGATTGGAAGTGGAGCAGCCGGGTCTCGAACCGGTGCCCATATGGGATGCTGGAGCTTCAGGCCAAGGCGTTAACTTGCTGGGCCATAACATTGGCCCCAGGAGCTGAGTTCTAAGTGGAAATAGAGCTCTTTGGGTCAAAATACAGTGGAGGAAGGCTGTGAGGGTCTCCCCTCCCCCCTCAGCCCCCTGGCATCCTCAGTACCGGCTGGCGCTACACTAACAGTGGGGCCACGCAGCCGTCAGACTGTGCCATGGGGCAGATCAAGAGACGGCAGCTCTAGAAACAAAGGAGTCTAAAGCACACTCGAAACACCACTCGCACGTCCTCGGGGTTTGTTTCTCCTTCCTACAGACTGAGTGCTTTGAGTCCCACACGTCAGAGGCCAGCACACCTGGGCCTTCACTGAGCACAGTGCCCGGCCCAGGCCAGGGACGGCGCCATCCCACGCCTCTGACCTGCACTCAGAGCTCTGCAGCGACTCTGCCTTGCAGGTTCTGCACAGAGCACCGCGGGCACGCGCAGGGTGCCTGTGGGCAGCACTGCCCTTCTTGGGGAAGGTCAGGAGGCTTCCTGAGCAAACTGCGTGGGCAGCTCCATCCTCACGAGAGCAAGTTCTCGGGAAGAGAAGGATTTATCTCAGACCAAGCGCCACACACAACGCCTCAGATTCATGACAGGCAAGACTGGAAACCCAGTAATTACTGGTAAGACTGCTGCTAAAAACACGTCATTGTTTTCTCTTGAAACAAGAAACACCACACAGAGGCTGGACCTGAGGGACAGTGGGAGGCAGCGACAGGCCAGCCAACTTTGGTTCAGACACAGCAGGGAACGCCTTCCTGTGCACTGAAATTTCAGGATTGGAAGATTTAAAGACTGGTCAAGGGGCAGGCATCACAGCCCACCAGGTAAAGCTGCCAACTGCAGTGCCGGCATTCCTTACGGGCGCCAGTTTGGGTCCCAGCTGCCCCACTTCCAATCCAGCTCTCTGCTAATGCACCTGGGAAAGCAGCAGCAGATGGCCCAAGTGCTTGGGCCCTGCACCGTGTGGGAGACCAGGATGAAGCTCCTGATCCTGCTTTCACCTGGCCCAGCCCCAGCCACCATGGCTATCTGGGGAGTGAACCAGTAGATGGAAGATCTCTCTCTAACTCTGCCTTTCAAATCAATTAAATAAATAAATTTTTTGAAAAAGGCCAATGGAAAGGGTAAGCCCTAGAAGTGGAGAGTGGAACCCTGCTTAGAGACACACAGTCATGCGGCCGGCACTGTGGTACGGCAGCTAAAGCCCTGGCCTGCATCCCCAGCACCCCCTGAGGGCGCTGGTTCCAGTCCTGGCTGCTCCACTTCTGATGCAGCTCCCTGCTAATGCACCTGGGAGAGTGGAGGAGGACAATCCAAGTCCCTGGGTCCCTGCACCAAGAGGGAGACCTGCAAGAAGCTCCTGGCTCCTGGCTCCAGATTGGCTCAGGGCAGTGAACCGGCAGATGGAAGACCTTTCTCGGTCTGTGTCTACCTCTCTCCCTGTAACTCTGTCTGTCAAATAAATAAAATACATCTTAAAAAAAAAAAAAAGACATACAATCAGGGAGCAGGATTCAGGTTAGCACCTAGGATGCCCGCTCCCACGTGGGAGTGCCTGACTCCCAAGTCCCCTTCATTCGCAACCCAGGAGGCAGCAGTGATGGCTCAAGTACTGGGTCCTTCTCACCCACGGCGAAGACCTGGATTGTGTTTCCTGCTCCCAAATTTGGCCTTGATCATCGTGGGCATTTGGGGAGTGAACCAGCCCACAGGGGCTCTCCGTCTCTCTCCACTCTCAAATAAAGAGAACAAACAAACACACACCTCAAAAACACATTCACCAAAAGATGAAGTGGGATCCTTCAGCAGGGAAGAAGCCCTGCCCCGTCTCCCTCAAATCTTTCTGACTCCAACATCGAACACAAGAATTAAGTGGGGCAGGGGAGGCGTCCCGATGACCACACAGCCCGTGGGTGCGGCCAGGAGCCCCGGTGGGCAGGCCTGAGTGGTTCCAAGTGAAGCCACCAAGATGGTGGCCGCAACTCACACCACATCAGCAGCCACGGCCAAAGGCTTCTTGTGACCCTGGAGGGGAACCTGGGGGCCCTGGCTCAGTCCCAGCCCTGGCAAGCTGAGCAGGCTCACAGCTCCTGGGTGACCACGACCCACCTGACCCCACCAGGACAGACAGTGGCCCCGCAGCCCGAGCCCACCTGACCCCACCAGGACAGACAGTGGCCCCGCAGCCCGAGCCCACGTGACTCCACGTGACCCCACCAGGACAGACAGCGGCCCTGCAGCCCGAGCCCACCTGACCCCACCAGGACAGACAGCAGCCCCGCAGCCCGAGCCCACCTGACCCCACCAGCACAGACAGTGGCCCCACAGCCCAAGCCCACGTGACCCCACCAGGACAGACAGCGGCCCCGCAGCCCGAGCCCACCTGACCCCACCAGGACAGACAGCGGCCCCACAGCCCGAGCCCACCTGACCCCACCAGGACAGACAGCAGCCCCGCAGCCCGAGCCCACCTGACCCCACCAGCACAGACAGTGGCCCTGCAGCCCGAGCCCACCTGACCCCACCAGGACAGACAGCGGCCCCACAGCCCGAGCCCACCTGACCCCACCAGGACAGACAGTGGCCCCGCAGCCCGAGCCCACCTGACCCCACCAGGACAGACAGCGGCCCCGCAGCCCGAGCATTTACACTGTCCCGTCTGCACGCACAGAAGACCAGGGCACGAGACAATCACACCTGTGAAGGGGGCTCCCGGAAGCGTAAGCTCACTCTCGTCATCACAGCAGCAGGGGACCTGCACGCACCAGGCTTCCCTGAGCCCTGCACGCACCAGGCTTCCCTGAGCCCTGCACGCACCAGGCTTCCCTGAGCCCTGCACGCACCAGGCTTCCCTGAGCCCTGGAGGCACCAGGCTTCCCTGAGCCCTGCACGCACCAGGCTTCCCTGAGCCCTGCACGCACCAGGCTTCCCTGAGCCCTGCACGCACCAGGCTTCCCTGAGCCCTGCACGCACCAGGCTTCCCTGAGCCCTGCACGCACCAGGCTTCCCTGAGCCCTGCACGCACCAGGCTTCCCTGAGCCCTGCACGCACCAGGCTTCCCTGAGCCCTGCACGCACCTGGCCTGGCACAGCACAGCTGTTCCGTCTGTTCTCTGCCCTGCCCCAGCTGTTCGCCTGACATGAGCCAGTGCAGAACAGGTTGCCAGCACAGGTGACGGCAGCAAGGAGCCTTGCAGGGAGCGCCTCTCCGTCACCGCCACCTGGTGGGCAGTGGCCCTTCTCATCACCAACCTGAACCTGTGCTGGGTCTGCACGGCTCTGCAGTGTGTCTACCGCAGGCTCGGCTCTAGCCTGGGTCAGGGTTTCAGGGGCCCATTGAACACGCAGTTGTCTGCATCCCCAGTGCACCAAATTCTGAGGGACCCAGGGAACTTCTGCCGTGAATCCAGGCCAAGGCAGTGCTGTGGGAGGCACCAGAGGTGAGGCAAGCCCTCGTGCTGAGCGGGCCGCACTTTCTCCCCAGGAAGGGCACGACTTACACGCTGCTGTCTGTGAGGGACAGGGTGTCGGCGTCGCTGGACAGGCTCTGCTGCTCGCTGTCATTGGCACTGGTAGCTGGGGCCAGGGCGTAGCCAGAGTTGACGTAGTAGGGGTTGACAGGCTCCCGCCAGGACCCGTATCTGCAAACAGGAAGTCATGTGAGTGGCAATGCCTCTTAAGCTAATCCACTTTCAGACTCGTCTGCATGTTTTAATACATGAGCTAAAATGCAAGCAACTCAGAAAAAGGAGCAGCGAAAGCCAAGATCACCATTGCTCCTCCCTCACCCGGCCCTTCCCGGAGGGGCGGGCACCTCTCCAGGTCTTTCCTCAGCTTTCAGCCAGATGTCCAAGTGCAGGTTCACAGTCGTCTGGGCTGGGGACACAGTTCTGCCCCTGGAGGTGGTCCGTGAGCCCTGCTGCTGGCTGCCACCTGGGACCAGACTCCTGGCCAGCACTCCGGGCAGCACACACAGGGATCAGTGAGGCCGGAGCCAGGCGCCAGCTGGGCCCCACCCACCCACCCTTACGCTGGCGCACACTCCCCGGAGGGCTCCGTAACTCTCGCTGTCGCACGAGCAGCTGGGAAGTGCACTCTTAACCCTAATTCTGATCAGCAGGTAGAGTCAGTTCTTCCTCTTTACCTGTTCACACCACTTGTCCGTTTTCTTTTCTGTTTCTTATTAGCTCCCATCTAATGATTCACTGCCTACATGCCTGCAAACAGCTGGGGCTAGACCAGCCTGAAGCCAGGAGCCCAGAACCCCACCCCAGTCTCCCACGTGGGGGCAGGGCCCCAATTACTTAAGCCACCACGGCTGCCCCGCAGGGTGCACGTTAGCAAGAATCTGAGTCAGGAGGGGACACAAGCACCCTAACTGTGAGGGCAAACGCCTTTCTTTCCTGTCCATTTCCTGCTGGGTGGTTCAGGGGTCCTGGAGACTGATTTAAGTATTTAAATGTTCTTATTACTGAGGCCAGTGCTGTGGCGTAGTGGGTAAAGCCACCGCATCCCATCCAGGCACTGGTTCGAATCCTGGCTGCTCCATTTCTGATCCAGCTCTCTGCTGTGGCCTGGGAAAGCAGTAGAAGATGGCCCAAGTCCTTGGGCCCCTGCACCCACATGGGAGACCGGAAGAAGCTCCTGGCTCCTGGCTTTGGACTGGTGCGGCTCCAGCCGTGGCAGCCACTGGGGAGTGAACGAGCAGAGGGAAGACCTCTCTCTCTGCACCTCTCCTTTTCTCTGTGTAACTCTTTCAAATAAATAAATATTTTTATTAGTAATTTCTGGTTATTTATTCAAAAAGCATTTTCTCCCTTAATGTTACCTTTCTTTTTGTTTATGTTGATTTTGGATACACGAAAATCAGATTTCCCAATCATTCTTGTGCAGGCGCCCAAGGACCTGGGCCATCCTCCACTGCTTTCCCAGGCCACAGCAGAGAGCTGGATCGAAGAGGAGCAGCCGGGACTCGAACCGGCACCCATATGGGTTACTGGTGCTTCAGGCCAGGGCTTTAACCCGCTGCGCCACAGCGCCAGCCCCAACATGTCCCATCTTTCCTTTCCTTTCTTTTTTCTTTGAAAGGCAGAACAGGGACTGGTGTTGTGGCACATTGGGTCAGGCTGTGTCTGCCATGCTAGCATGCCATACGAGCACTGGTTCAAGTCCCAGCTGCTCCATTTCCAATCTAGCTTCTTGCTAACGTGCTTGAGACAAGCAGCGGAAGATGGCCCAAGTGCACAGGCCCCTACCATCCCCGTGGGAGACCTGGATGGAGCTCCTGGCTCCTGGTTCCAGCCTAGGCCAGCCCTGGCCATTTTGGCTACTTGGGGAGTGAACCAGTACATGGAAGAGGCCCTGGCTCCTGGCTGCAGCCTGGCCCAGTCCAGCTGTTGTGGTCACCTGGGGAGTGAATGCACGGGTGGAGATTTGTCTTTCTGTGTCACTCCTCCCCTCAAACGGATCCAAGTATGTAAAACGGATGACCACTCAGCGTGAAGAGCTCCAGACTGCAGACACAATCGTGAGACGTGTCATCAAGGAGGACGGACACGCGCTTAGGGAGTCTCCCGTTGACTCCACGCTCCCACAGCTCTTCTGAAGTAGGTTCTTTGTACAAACGGCAGCAAGCACACAAAACTATTCCAACGCGACAAGCCACGAGGGGATGCAATCAACACAAGGCAGGGATGGCTAAAATACGACAGGGAAAAGAAAAACAAAAAGTGCTGCAGAGTGTGGGCAAAGTGGCTCCCTCAGGCCCGTGCTGACGGGAAAGCCACCCTGGAGAAACCTGTGTCCTCACAACCACACGGGCAGCTGGTCGCCCTGAGACGCGAACACCTGAGCTCACACAAAGCAGACGCAGCGGGCGGGAATTCCGCACAGCCGAGACACTGCTTGGGAGGCCACATCCCATCTCCCCGGGGTTCCAGTCCTGGCCCCGCTTCCAATTCCAGCTTCCTGATGTGCACCCTGGGATCCCCACCACCCATGCCGGAGAGCCCGAGGGAGCGCCAGGGTCCCAGCTGCAGCCCAGCCTAGCCTGGCTGTCGTGGATACTTGGGGGTGAACCAGTGGATGGGCTTTGTCTCTCTGTCTTTCAAATACAACAAGACGGGTTCTCTCTGAGCGTGTGTGCATCTCTAACTTTCAAATAAAATTAACAAACAAGCAAATGAATGCTGACAGCAGCTTCATCTGCAACCGCCACGCTGCGCTTCAACAGGTGAGTGGTGTGCAAACCGTGGCACATGCACGCCAATGCAGTCATCAGAAATCACTAGGCAACTGCCTGCGCCAACAGCCCGCACGCACGTGCCTCCCGAGAAGTACGCCGAGGAGAGCCAATCCCAAAGATGACCAGCCACAGCGTTACAGTCCCGTGACCTGACTTTCTTGCTTGAATTTAAGAGGCAGAGACAGACACAGCTGGAGAGAGTGAGACCCTACCTAGTGGTTCACTTGCCAAATGTCCACAGTGACTAGAACTGGACCAGGCCAAAGATGGGAGCTGGTCATTCAATCCAGGTCCTGCACGCTGGGAGGCAGCAGAAGCAGAAGTCCAGAGCCAGCGCTGGGTACTGAACTCGGGGACTCTGGTGTGGGACATGGACATCTTAACCCCAGTGAGACCACACACCTGCCCCACAGAACATGTCTTAACCGCAGGACTCTGGCTGCTAGTGGCTTCCGAGACCCCTGCTGCACTCTGGGACTCGGAACTCAAAGACCGGCTGGCACGTGTGGAATAAAGGAGAAGCTGGGGCCGGTCCTTCAGAACAGTGACCCGGTGCACTGCCTGCCTCTTCAGCAGGGCCAGGAAGTTCCGTTTCCAGTATGATCCGCCAGCAGCGGGCCCGTTACCTTTCTCCCAAGAGGCAGACAGGCAGGCTGCCGGGTCGGGGAGGCAGATCTGAGAGCAGTGCACAGCGGCCTTCCCTCCCCTGCACCTCCTACCCCACCCGAGTCACACCTCCAACCTCGCCGCCCTGCCTTCATTTCTATGCCGCAGACACATCAGCACCCCTCCCCGCCCAACCCCAGTCTTTGGCAAGGCCCACGGCACTGAGCATAAAATGTGCACCGTTGTGGGATAGCTCCGTGGCCTCGCGAGTCAGTCACGAGGGGCACTGGACAGGCGGGCCTCCTTACACCGTGGCACCTGCTTGGTGTGGGAGAACAGAACGCAGGGCCCAGCGTGGGCACTGCCAGGGGCATGACAAATCTCCGAGCCCGAGCTAACTCTTGGGATGTCCAGAAGCGACAGCTTTTCATGCTGCCTCGTCAGACACAGCCCACCTGCCACAGGCTGGCAGAGGGGACAGACATGGGCACACCTGGGAGCCACTGCAAAGCAGGCCCTAGGGAAGGGCGGGTGCAGAGGGTGGGCCGAAAACGTTCCTCAGGAACTGAGGACCCTCGGGGGGACAGGAGGGACAGGAGCAAGGTCAGCCCAGAAGAGGCCTTATAGGGGGCACCGGGAGGCGGGAGGTGGTGCCGATGCAGGGCCGTGAGGCTGGTGGCCTGAGTGGGGTGGGCTGGAGGCGCAGGAGAAGGTGGCAGCCAGAAAGGCGAGTGGTCCTACGGCCTGCCCGGGCTCCCCTCCTGATGGCAACACTGCTCGGCCTCCTGGAGGGTGCTGGCCTGGGGTTAAGACGCCCACTCCTGCATCCAAGTCAACGGGTTCAGCTCCTGCCTCAGGTGTCCTTGTAACGCAGACCCTGGAGGGCAACAGTGGGTGGGTTCCTGGGACCCACAGGACACTTGGGTCGAGTGCCAGGCTCCTAGCTGGGCCCTTGCAGGCACTTTGGGAGTGAACCAGCAGATGGAGGTCTGTCTCTACCTGTCGGCTCCCTCTGCCTCTGTCTCCTTGCCTCTCAAATAAGCAACTGAAGATGTAAAGCCGGGCCTGGTGCCCGCTGTTTGCCGTCCTGGGTGTCTCAGGACTGGCCCTCCTCACACCAGGCCTGCAGCCACGCCCCACTCCACGTCCCGACCTGAGCACACACCGGTGGCTGCCCACACCAGCAGTCCTTGCTGCCAGGGCAACGCCCACCATGCTTCTCAGGCCCCACGCCCCAGGTTCCAGTTGCTGACTGATGCGCCCTGCGGAGCCTGCTGCAAAGTGATCCGTGTTCTGGGCTCTGCCCAGCCATTCAAACCCTGTTTGCCTACACTCTTCCAGACTCCATGCCAGATGTCTGCTTGGGTCCCGGTCATCACGTAGGCAGACAGCTCCTCAGGCCACCGACTTGTCTACTCTTGGAGGCCTTCACTCAAGAGCGTGACGCCCGGAGCACCAGCAGATGGCCACACACACACCCTCAAGCTCCAGGGAGGCATCCCCTGCCCTGGCTCTGGTGCCGCCTCCTCCCACAGGGGACCGTCCCAAACACACACACCTTGAGAGCCACTTCTGGTCACCTCTGGCCAACCTGTCGCTCGCTGACTTACACCCACGTGCTCGTCAGTGGCCCCGCTGCCGTCCACACGTGTTCTATGCAGGCTGGCTACCTCAGTGCCCACTCAGCACTCCCGCTCCCCCTCCCAGAGACCACCTGGGCCTACATGTGTGTTTCCATGGAGAGTCAGGGAGGAGACAGTCACTGCTGTCCACACATGGCCAGTCTCTGCACCTCCGTGGACTCAGAGCACATCTGATCACTTTAGTTGACTAACGTACAAGTGACACAGGCCTTGGGGCCAGTGCTGTGGCGCAGTGGGTTAAAGTCCCTACCTGCAGTATGTGGGCGCCGGCTCTAGTCCTCGGCTCAAGAAGCTGTCTGAGCTCTGTCTCTCTAAGCCCAGGCCCCACAAAGAGAGCACCTGTGCCCAGGGGGCCTCTGCGGCTGTGCCTCCCCAGGCCCAGGCTGGGGGGGGAGGGGGGGAGCGAAGCAGCCAAGAAGCAGCACACAGGTATCTGGAGTCTCAGGCAGACGCCGTGCCAAGCCCGACTCCTCACCTGGGGGCTTTGGGCCACAGGTCCTCCCCCACGGCACCTACCTGAGACTGCAAACGAGATGTGGGTAGACACCTGTCGCAGGATCATGACAATCAGGACGCTACCGCCAGCACCAGACACGGCCAGAAAGGTCTTCCCCACACAGACCCACGTGCCCCACCTGCGGACTGACAGGTTCCAGGTGGGTCTGGGAGGCCACTCCCCCCAGCCTCAACCCCTCAGCCTGGACCCACACCGGACTTCAGTAAGAGGGGAGCCTGGGCAGTGCTCCCGCCCCCGCCTCTGGCCCCGGTCTGGGGAGGGGCTCAGGCAGGGGCAGCTGGGAAGTCGCCCAGGAGAAGACAGCGGCCTCGGGGGGCCGAGCTGGGGCGTATCTCAGGCTCCAGCGTATGTCCCCTGCTCCACAGCACAGTGGACACACGACCTTCACCACCTCTGGGACAAAGCAAAAGGCAGCAAAAGGGCGCAGGATGCAGAAGCTGAGCATCAGACTACCCCTAGGGAGCCCCACGGCTCACACCCAGGACCAAGCACGTGGACCGGTGGCCCACAGGGACACAGGCTTTCGGGCAAGGGTAGAGAGTGATTACAGACCAGCACCCAGGTCAGGGACACACAGCGAGGCTACTAGAACAGGCACTGTCACGTACCTGGCTGGGACACCCCCATCCCATGCCAGAACACGGGTTCAAGTCCCAGCTCCCCCACTTGGGACCCTACTTCCTGTAGTGCACATCCTGTCAGGCAGCAGTGACGGCTCCAGGGCTTGGGTTCGGGCCACCCCCGTGGCGGGTGCAGATGGAGCTTCAGATTCCTGGCTGGCCTGGCCCAGCCCCAGCTGTTGCAGGCATTTGGAGAAAGAACTAGGAGATGGGAGAGTGCGCACTCTCTCTGTAGCTCTGCCTTTCAAACAGATGAAAATACAAGTATTTACAAAGTGAAGCTACATCTGCCTTCCTGTCGCTCCTTCCTGAGGGACCGTGAAGGCAGACACACGTGCACAGGGCAGCAGCTCAGCGAAGGGGCGAGAACTGGGAGGTGGGCAGACAGGCACAAGCTGCACTCAGCCAGGTCTAGGGACACCCTGTGGCCAAGGTCACAGCGAGCAGACTCCAGACTGTCCATGGGGTCCTCTCGGACCTCCTGGCATGGAGAGAAGCCTGCAAAGGCCATCTAACACCAGCAGACGGTTACAGCGTGTGGTCACCTTAGCTGTGAGGAGGATGAACTTGGCAGCCATTTTGACAACACAAGTAACAATCTACACTAGAGGGGGAAGAGCTGCCCAACCCAGACTGGACACCACCCTCAGTCTGCACTGACCCACGGAGACCACGACCCAGACTGGACACCACCCTCAGTCTGCACTGACCCACGGAGACCACGACCCAGACTGGACACCACCCTCAGTCTGCACTGACCCACGGAGGTCACGACCCAGACTGGACACCTCCCTCAGTCTGCACTGACCCACGGAGACCACGACCCAGACTGGACACCACCCTCAGTCTGCACTGACCCACGGAGACCACGACCCAGACTGGACACCACCCTCAGTCTGCACTGACCCACGGAGGTCACGACCCAGACTGGACACCTCCCTCAGTCTGCACTGACCCACGGAGACCACGACCCAGACTGGACACCACCCTCAGTCTGCACTGACCCACGGAGGTCACGACCCAGACTGGACACCTCCCTCAGTCTGCACTGACCCACGGAGACCACGACCCAGACTGGACACCACCCTCAGTCTGCACTGACCCACGGAGGTCACGACCCAGACTGGACACCTCCCTCAGTCTGCACTGACCCACGGAGACCACGACCCAGACTGGACACCACCCTCAGTCTGCACTGACCCACGGAGACCACGACCCAGACTGGACACCACCCTCAGTCTGCACTGACCCACGGAGGTCACGACCCAGACTGGACACCACCCTCAGTCTGCACTGACCCACGGAGACCACGACCCAGACTGGACACCACCCTCAGTCTGCACTGACCCACGGAGACCACGACCCAGACTGGACACCACCCTCAGATGCACCTGACCCACGGAGGTCACGACCCAGACTGGACACCACCCTCGGTCTGTACTGACCTACGGAGACCACGACCCAGACTGGACATCACCCTCAGCTGTACTGACCCACGGAGACCACGACCCAGAGTGGACACCACCCTCAGTCTGCACTGACCCACGGAGGTCACGACCCAGACTGGACACCACCCTCAGTCTGCACTGACCCACGGAGGTCACGACCCAGACTGGACACCACCCTCAGTCTGCACTAACCCACGGAGACCACGACCCAGACTGGACACCACCCTCAGTCTGCACTGACCCACGGAGGTCACGACCCAGACTGGACACCACCCTCAGATGCACCTGACCCACGGAGGTCACGACCCAGACTGGACACCACCCTCGGTCTGTACTGACCTACGGAGACCACGACCCAGACTGGACATCACCCTCAGCTGTACTGACCCACGGAGACCACGACCCAGACTGGACACCACCCTCAGTCTGCACTGACCCACGGAGGTCACGACCCAGACTGGACACCTCCCTCAGTCTGCACTGACCCACGGAGGTCACGACCCAGACTGGACACCACCCTCAGTCTGCACTGACCCACGGAGGTCACGACCCAGACTGGACACCTCCCTCAGTCTGCACTGACCCACGGAGACCACGACCCAGACTGGACACCACCCTCAGTCTGCACTGACCCACGGAGGTCACGACCCAGACTGGACACCTCCCTCAGTCTGCACTGACCCACGGAGACCACGACCCAGACTGGACACCACCCTCAGTCTGCACTGACCCACGGAGGTCACGACCCAGACTGGACACCTCCCTCAGTCTGCACTGACCCACGGAGGTCACGACCCAGACTGGACACCACCCTCAGTCTGCACTGACCCACGGAGGTCACGACCCAGACTGGACACCTCCCTCAGTCTGCACTGATCCACGGAGACCACGACCCAGACTGGACACCACCCTCAGTCTGCACTGACCCACGGAGACCACGACCCAGACTGGACACCACCCTCAGCTGCACTGACCCACGGAGACCACGACCCAGACTGGACACCACCCTCAGTCTGCACTGACCCACGGAGACCACGACCCAGACTGGACACCACCCTCAGTCTGCACTGACCCACGGAGGTCACGACCCAGACTGGACACCTCCCTCAGTCTGCACTGACCCACGGAGACCACGACCCAGACTGGACACCACCCTCAGTCTGCACTGACCCACGGAGGTCACGACCCAGACTGGACACCACCCTCAGTCTGCACTGACCCACGGAGGTCACGACCCAGACTGGACACCTCCCTCAGTCTGCACTGACCCACGGAGGTCACGACCCAGACTGGACACCTCCCTCAGTCTGCACTGATCCACGGAGACCACGACCCAGACTGGACACCACCCTCAGTCTGCACTGACCCACGGAGACCACGACCCAGACTGGACACCACCCTCAGCTGCACTGACCCACGGAGACCACGACCCAGACTGGACACCACCCTCAGTCTGCACTGACCCACGGAGACCACGACCCAGACTGGACACCACCCTCAGTCTGCACTGACCCACGGAGACCACGACCCAGACTGGACACCACCCTCAGTCTGCACTGACCCACAGAGACCACGCAGCCAACAGATTAGAGGTGGCCCTGAAGGCACGTAGTGCAGCTCCTGACACAGACTCACAGAGACTTGGTCCCGAACCCTGACCCTGGGACCCTGCGGCCGGGGCCCGCTGCCACTAGTGCCCTGTGGAAGTCAGCGGCCCTCAAGTTTGAAGAGCACAGAGCCCTTAGACGGATGAAGGGAAGCAAGCTGCTTCATTTTAAACCAGTTTGACTTGGGGCCGGCGCTGTGGCGTAGCGGGTAAAGCCACTGCCTGCGGTGCTGGCATGCCATACGGGTGCAGGTTTGAGTCCCGGCTGCTCCTCTCCCAATCCAGCTCTCTGCCATGACCTGGGAAAGCAGTAGAAGATGGCCCAAGTGCTTGAGCCCTGCACCCACATGGGAGACCAGGAGAAGCTCAGAAGCAGCTCCTGGCTCCTGGCTTTGGATCAGCCAACTCCATCTGTTACGGCCATCTGGGAAGTGAACCAACAGATGTAAGATCCCTCTCTCTCTCTCTCTCTGCCTCTCTGTAACTCTGCCTTTCAATTAAATAACTAAACTTTTAAAAATAAATTAATTAAGTCTTTCAAAAATAACAGTCCAAAAAATAATAGTTTGGCTAAGGGGACAGGTTGTGGCATAGCCACATCCCATATGGGCACCAGTTTGTGTCCCAGCTGCTCCACTTCTGATCCAGCTCCCTGCTGATGGCCTGGGGAAAACAGAAGATGGCCTAAGTGTCTGCGGCCCTGCACCCATGTGAGAGACCCAGATAAAACCCCTGTCCAGCTCTGGCCTGGCTGATGCGAACCCTGGAGGGTTCAAAACCACACAGAAAGGGAGACAAAGGCTCCGGGGAGTTCGGACACACGTTTCCTCGCTTCAAGTGAACACCTGCACGAAAGGCAAAACAGCGGCCGCAGGTGGAAGCCCGCGCGGCTGCCTCGCAGCCCTGCAGCAGCCCACGTGCCTGCTGCCCACACTCAGACACCACCACTTCCACAAGACAACGAGGAACTCCGCAGCGACGTGAGTGGGCGGGCCTGGGGCCCCACTCGGGGGGCCTCTGCTTCCAGCGCAGCCTCCCGCTCGCGCACCTGAGAGACAGCACGTGACGACTCACAAAACTGAGTTCCCGCCTCTTGCGTGGGAGAGCCAGGTGGAGCTCCTGGCTGCTGACTGCAGCTGCTGCAGGTGTCTGGGGAATGAACCAGCGGATGAAAGATCTCCCCCCACTCCACCTCTGTCACTCTTTCAAACAAATAAGTAATTTTTTAAAAATTTGATCAAAATGAGGTCAATGTCAGCTATAAGAATCTGTATTTTCTTTCCCCCAGGCAACATCAGAAACCTGTCCTCACTCTGACTGCCTGCCGAGGTTCCCAACAGCCCCCACTCAGCCACCTATCAGGAGCTCTGCTTAGATGACTGACCGTTCACGTGCCCCTCTGACCCCACGCTGAACACCGGCTGGGGCTGCGCTAGCGCAGGCTGCTCTCCCGTGCGGGGAGGACGGCAAGGCTGCAGTGAGTCCCCGAGTCACAGGACGGGAGGAGCTGCTCCGCCGCCACCCTGCTGATGCCTCAGGGGAAGCCGCAGGACTCTGCTCCCCGCGGGTGTAGCACGTCCACGTACACCTTCCCGCGCCCCGCAGAACATCAGACCCTGAGACGGGGGCGTGTGTCCTGCAGACACCTACAGCAACAAGACGACTGCTGGGGACCGCCCAGCGGCCATTCCCACGTGCCTGCTTGGGTACTGATGACCGTGAGGCTGCAGCCAAAAGCCCCCTCACCAACACTGACCAGCTACTGACCTCAGGCAAGTCACTGCCTCGCTAATCGTAAGTGACAACGGCTGGTTCTTCCTCGGGCTTTTCCGGCATCTTGGCGAACAGCACACACCAGGTGCTGGGCGAGGGCCAGCACACACCAGGTGCTCGGGCGAGGGCCAGCACCTGACAGAAAAGGCCCTCAACACAGTGGCACAGGGTCCCTCCTGCTCGTCAGAGGGAGGACGAGGTGGCGAAGACGGCAGCTCACCGCGCAATCCCATCATGCCAACTCACTCCCTGCAGGAGGTAACACAAGCGCTTAGGCAAATCCAGGGCTCTAGCGTCAGAAGAACATGGTTGCGGCAGCCCAGTCATGGCTCTGGAAGGCATGCCACAGCTAGCCTGCAGACAGAAACCTCATTTCCATACACGGGGGGGGGGTCTCGCATGAGGTTCTCTTTGTCACAATTCCCACCACACCTCGCCGCCCTACGCAAACCAGTAACTGAAAACAAACAGGAGAGCACCCGGCACAGCCATTACCACGCTCTGGGGAGGGCAGCACCCGTATCAGAACGCCAGGTCTCAAGGCCAGCTCTGCGCCCAGGTCTAGCTTCCTGCTCCTGAGCACGGTGGCAGGCGGCAGGTGACGGCGCCAACAGCTGGGTCCCTGCCACCCACGTGGGTGACCTGGACTGCATTCCTGCCCTGGGCCCTGGGCCAGCTTCAGCAGTTGCAGCCATTTATGGGTGGGAGCTCTCTGTATCTGTCTCTCTACCTGTCAAATAAATTTTTCTAAAAATCAAGCTCTACATAGGTAGCTGATACAAAAATAAGAATTTCATTCAGAGACGTGTTCATTTCAAATACAGGAAGCCTTGGTGGGCCCCTGCCTGTGAGCGGTGGAGCTCCCACGGTTAAGGCGCCAGGACTTGGAGCGGCAACGAGATTTCCAGGGCAGCAGCAACCTGACACGGACGCGGTCGTACTCGTCTCCTTGGGACGCTCCCGCAGCGGAGGCCGAGAACGTGGCCGGGAACCCCAAGCCAGGCTGCCAGGGAAGGCAGGGCCCGCTGACACCCCCCAGGCGGCCGCCCCAGGCTGCCTGCAGCGAGGGCCATGCGGAAGCATCAGGAAGCCCTCACGGCAGGAAAACATCCCCAGAACTTCCAGTGATCTCCAAGATGCTGGGATACAACGCCGGTATTCAACAACAGACTGTGCAGAACAGGACACACGACCGACGACTGAAAAACAGGGTCAAACCGGAAAACAGAAACAAAACAAAAATCCCGACACAGAAACCACCAGACACTGAAGAACACGTGACTGCTACGTTCAACAGGCTGGTTGAGAAGAGAGGGAGCGTTTCAGGGGGCTGGTGTTGTGTCACTGCTCCAACCCAAGCATCCCACACCCAGCACTGGTTCAGGTCCCAGCTAACCGCTTCCAATCCAGCCTCCCGCTGACGCACCTGGAAAAGCAGCAGCAGATGACCCCAGTTCCTGGACCCTGCCACCCAAACAGAAGACCCACACAGAGCTGCTGGCTCCTAGCTTCAGCCTGGCCCAATCTTGGCTGCTGTGAGCATTTGGAGAGCGAACCAGCAGACAGTTGATCTCTCTCTATTGCTGTGTCTGATGCCTTTTTTTTTTTTTTGGACAGGTAGATTTAGTGAGAGAGAGAAAGAGAGAGAAAGGTCTTCCTTTCTGTTGGTTCATCCCCAAATGGCTGCCACAGCCGGCGTGCTGCACCGATCCGAAGCCAGGAGCCAGGTGCTTCCTCCAGGTCTCCCATGCGGGTGCAGGACCCAAGGACTTGCGCCATCCTCCACCGCCTTCCCGGGACACAGCAGAGAGCTGGACTGGAAGAGGGGCAACCGGGACAGAATCCAGTACCCCAACAGGGACTAGAACCCTGGGTGCCGGCGCCGCAGGCAGAGGATTAGCCTAGTGAGCCGCGGCACAGGCCTGATGCTCTTTCTACTAGTTTTTTCCTCAAAAAAAAAAAAAAAAAAAAAAAGTTTATTTATTTGAAAGACAGTTACAGAGAGATGGGGAGACAGAGAGAGGGGCATCATTCCCCCGATGGCTGCAGTGGGCCAGGGTGAGGCCAGGCCAAAGCCAGGAGCCTGGACCTCCGCCCGGGTCTCTCGCATTGGTAACAAGCGCCCAAGCACTCAGCCATCTTCTGCTGTTTCCCAGGTAACTATCAGGGAGCCGGATCAGAAGTGGAGCAGCAAGACTTGAACTGGTGCTGGCACTGCAGGCCGCAGCTTAATCCACCGTACCACAATGCCAGCCCGAGCTCTGCCTTTCAAATAAACAGGTAAATTTGGGCCAGCGCTGTGACGTAGTAGGCTAAGCCCCGGGCTGCGATGCCAGCATCTCATATGAGCAGTGGTTCAGGTCCCGGCTGCTCCACTTCCAGTCCAGCTCTCTGCTGTGGCCTGGGAAGGCAGTGGACGATGGCTCTGCACTCACTCTGCGCTTCAGCTGGAAGAAACTCCTGGCTCCGGAGGTTGGCCTGGCCCATCCTGGGCTGGGGCAGTCATCTGGGGAGTGAACCAGCGATGGAAGATCTCTCTCAGTCTCTCTCTGCCTCTCTGTAACTATGCCTTTCAAGTAAATAAATCTTTAAAAAAGAAAAGTTTACGGGGACCACATCCCTAAGAAAACAGCAGTTTACAAATGTATAACTCGTTTTAAGAAGGGATGAGAAGGTGTTGGACATGACACCCACAGCAGCAGACCATGCCTCAGTTTTCAGGGGACTCTAATCTTATTAAAACCCTAACTGGAGGGGCCAACACTGTGGCGCAGCAGGTAAAGCTGCCACCTGCAGTGCCGGCATCCCATATGGGCACCAGTTCTAGTCCCAGCTGCTCCACTTCCGATCCAGCTCTCTGCTATGGCCTGCGCAAGCAGTAGAAGATGGCTCAAGTCCTTGGGCCCCTGCACCTGCATGGGAGACCTGGAAGAAGCTCCTGGTTCCTGACTTCGGATTGGCACAGCCCAGGCTGTCATGGCCAACTGGGGAGTTAACCTGCAGATGGAAGACCTCTCTCTCTCTGTTTCTCTCTCTGCCTCTCCTTCTCTCTGTGTGTAACGCTGACTTTCAAATAAAATAAATAAATTAATATATATATAAACCCTAACTGGAGAGGACCACAGACAGTTTACACAATTCTCTCTGAAAGATTAAAGTGCAACAAACTAGCTTCGGCAGGCAAAGCTGCTGCCTATGACGTCGACATCCCAGCTGCTCCCTTTCCAATCCAGCTCCCTGCTAATGGCCTGGGAAAGCAGCAGGATTTGGCCCAAGCGCTTGGGCCCCTGCACCCATGTGGGAGGCCTGGAAGAAGCTCCTGCCTCCTGGCTTCAGCCTGGCCTGACCCCAGAAGTTGCAGCCATTTGGGGAATGAACCAGCAGATGGAAGATCTCTCTGTCTCTCCCTCTATTTCTGACTTTCAAATAAGCAAACAAATCTTAAAAAAAAAAAAAAAAAGATAAAAGATTTATTGATGCATGTAAAAGGCAGAGTTACAGAGACTCTCCCTCCCTCCCCTGGAGGGAGAGCGAGCGAGTGACCAAGCGCATGAGGGCACTTCTACCTGCTAGTTCACGCCCCAGATGGCCGCAAAGGCCAGTGCTGGGCCAGGCTGAAGCCAGGAGTTCGTCTGGATTACCTGTGTGGGTGCAGGGGCCCAAACACGTGGACAATCTTCCACTGCTTTCCCAGGCCATTAGCATGGAGCTGGTCAGAAGCAGAGCAGCTGGGACACGAATGGGATGCTGGCGTCACAGGCAACAGCTTTACCCACTATGCCCCGACGCTGGCCCTTGGAGCAAACTTTCTGATGATGGATATGAGAATTGTTTTGTCTAGATCAGCACCAGACAAGAGCACAGCTTTCAATGGAAATATGAAACAGGCAGGATCCAGATCCTAAAGTATTTCACAAATACTGTAACGGGATGAAACATGGCTCTACCGGTGCAAACCTGAAGACAAAACACAATCAAATCGGGGCTGGCGCTGTGGCATCAGTGGGTGAAGCCGCTGCCTGCAGTGCTGGCATCTCATATGGGTGCAGGTTCGAGTCCTGGCTGCTCCACTTCCGATCCAGCTCTCTGCTGTGGCCTGGGAAAGCAGCAGAAGATGACCCAAGTCCTTGGGCCCCTGCACCCACATGGGGAATGCAGAGGAAGCTCCTGGCTCCTGGCTTCGGATGGGTGCAGCTCCGGCCGTAGCAGCCAATTGGGGAGTGAACCAGCAGATGGAAGACCTCTCTCTTTCTCTGCCTCTCCTCTGTGTAACTCTGACTTTCAAATAAAATAAATAAATCTTTAAAAAAAACCACACACACGGTGGCAGGGTCTGGGGAAGGGGCGGCAGGCGCCATGTCCGGCCGGGAAGGTGGCAAGAAGAAGCCCCTGAAACAGCCCAAGAAGCAGGCCAAGGAGATGGATGAGGAAGATAAGGCTTTCAAGCAAAAACAGAAAGAGGAGCAGAAGAAACTCGAGGAGCTAAAAGCGAAGGCGGTGGGGAAGGGCACCCTGGCCACAGGTGGAATTAAGAAATCTGGCAAAAAGTAAGCTGTTCCTTGTGCCTGAAGTGATGACGCCCTTGATTGCATTCCTAGCTAAACATCTCGATTCCCGGCCATAACATCTTATGCCACCGTAGTTAGAATGAAGTGTTAAGAGTTAAGTGTTATCTTGGAGCCTGTTGTACATTTACAAATAAATTTTTTTTTTTTTTTTGACAGGCAGAGTGGACAGTGAGAGAGAGAGACAGAGAGAAAGGTCTTCCTTTGCCGTTGGTTCACCCTCCAATGGCCGCCACGGCCGGCGCACTGCGGCCGGCGCACCGCACTGATCCGATGGCAGGAGCCAGGAGCCAGGTGCTTTTCCTGGTCTCCCATGGGGTGCAGGGCCCAAGCACCTGGGCCATCCTCCACTGCACTCCCTGGCCACAGCAGAGGGCTGGCCTGGAAGAGGGGCAACCGGGACAGAATCCGGCGCCCCGACCGGGACTAGAACCCGGTGTGCCGGCGCCGCTAGGCGGAGGATTAGCCTAGTGAGCCGCGGCACCGGCCACAAATAAAATTTTGTAAAAAGGGGAAAAAACAAAAAAAAAACCACACACACACAAATCAAACCAACGGATACCAGGGGTTAGAAATGGCCCAAAGCAGAGCAGAGATCACAGAACAGGTTTTTGGATGTCCAAGGCATTTCATTGTTGCGCTTCCAGAGTCAAGAATAAAAACGTCTGCTCATTAGGAGAGTGAGCCAAAGGTAGAGCAGGAACACCCTCAGGAAAGCTTCCTCCGGGACCCCCCACCCCACCCTGCACAGCGCTCCTGCACCTCTAACAAGAGGGACCGCGCGTTCTGACGACCACTGGACAGCCACCTCAGCATCCTGCCCAGGCTCCCTCTGGTTTCCTCTGGTTCCTTAGTCTTCTTTAAAGGACATCTGCATTTGCTCAGTCAATAATGCAAACGCGCCAGCACTGTATGGCAAATTCCCAGGACCCTCAATTCTTTAGGGAAGTGTCTTGAACTTGATGGAGCTTATGTTGAGAAATAAAGGTTAGGTTTTTCATTTTTATTTTTATTTATTTATTTATTTTTGACAGGCAGAGTTAGACAGTAAGAGACAGAGACAGAGAGAAAGGTCTTCCTTTGCCGTTGGTTCACTCCCTAAACGGCCGCCACAGCCGGCGCTGCACCGATCCGAAGCCAGGAGCCAGGTGCTTCCTCCTGGCCTCCCAAGCGGGTGCAGGGCCCAAGCGCTTGGACCATCCTCCACTGCCCTCCCGGGCCACAGCAGAGAGCTGGACTAGAAGAGGAGCAACTGGGACAGAATCTGGCAGCCCCGACCAGGACTAGAACCCGGGGTGCCGGCGCCACAGGCGGAGAATTAGCCTAGTGAGCCACGGCGCCGGCCTCATTTTTATCTTCTAAATGCAATTTTCCCATGACCTTTTTGACGTGCCCTGAGACTATACAACTATCACAATTAAAGATAAATTTTAAAATACTAAAACAACATGGTACTAGCATAAAAACAGACACACAGACAGCAGAACAGAGTCCATAAACAGCCCACCCAGCTACTCTCAGCTGCTGGTCAGCGAAGGTGCCGGGCACACACACTGGGAAGGACAGTCTCTCCAGCCAGTGGAGCAGGGAACTGAGATTCCAGGTACAGAAGAATGACGCTGGGGCCCGCGCTGTGGCACGGGGTGAAGCCACCACATGCGTGCCAGCATTCCACATGGGCGCTGGTTCGAGCCCCGGCTGTTCCATTTCCAGTCCAGCTCTCTGCTGTGGCCTGGGAAAGCAGAGGAAGTTGGCCCAAGTCCCTGGGCCCCTCACTCACGTGTGAGACCCGGAAGAACCTCTGGGCTCCTATGTCAGGCTGCTGCATCAACCTGGGGAGTGAACCAAGGGATGGAAGACCTCTGTCTCTCCCTCACCCTCTCCCTACGTGTAACTTTCAAATAAATGAATAAATTTTTCTTTAAAAAACAGAATTAAAAAGATGTTTGTCCGAGCCGGCGCTGTGGCACAGCGGGACAACGCCCTGGCCCATATCCCATGTGGGCGCCAATTTGAGTCCTGGGTGCTCCACTTCCAATCCAACTCCCTGCTGATGCACCTGGGAAAGAAGTGAAAAATGGCTCAAGTTCTTGGGCCCAGCACCCATGCGGGAGACCCGGGGTAAGCTCCTGGCTCCTTGCTTCAGATCAGTTCAGCTCCAGCCACTGCGACCATGCGGGGAATGAACCAGCGGATGGAAGACACCTCTTTCTCAGTCTCTACCCTTCCCTATAACTCTGTCTTCAAATAAATAGAACAAATCTTAGGGAAAACAAACACGTGGGACACCCACACCCCACAGGGAGCGCTGTGCCTCCAGTCCTGGCCGCACCCGACTCCACCTTCACGCAGGGACACACGATGAGAGGCTGCAGGTAGGAGCCAGACTGAGCTCCCGGCTCCTGCTTTGGCCTGGCCCAGGCCCAGCAGAGTGAGCCAGAAGATGGGAGATCTCTGTCTCTCTGCCTTCCAAATGAGTAACACACACACGCGTGCACACAATACACGCAGGCACACACACACAGCAGTTTTAAGATCCCCGGGGTGAGCGCTGAGTCGGCAGCTCAGAGGCCAGCTCCAATCCCGTGTCTCACACGGCGACACCTGGATTTCATAGCTGGCTCCCGACTTCCTGCTAACACAGCCCCCGGGGGCAGCAGCGATGGCGCCACTCAGTGGGTCTGCAGGGTCTTTCCGGGCTGTTTACCCTGGAGTAACAGGAGTCCAACACAGCTTCCCTGAGACGCAAACACCGAAGGGCTGCAGCTAGCCTGGCAGGACCTTCCACAAAGCTCAACCCAACCGGACCCCCCCTTCGTGGAAGGGAATCCTTGGGATTCAGCGCCTCTCGTCCCGCTGTCTAGAAATGTGAACGAGGGACCTTAGGGACACGACGCTCAGCCTTGCTATGGAATTCCCCTGCCCTGCACCGCAAGGTCCACCTCGTCAGCCCGAGAGAGGCTGGAGGACGGCGCTCCAGACGCCCCAGGAGGGCAGGCCTGTCACCTGAGCACAGACGGGCTGCAGGGCTGAGAGCCTCTTAGAAAAGAAGACACACTGGTCTTGAGGGAGGCGCCGGCGAGCCGGGACGTGAGGCACTCAGACGCTGGCGCGGCTCTGCCTCTGCCACGGACGGGACAGGAAGGGACTAGGACAGAGGGTAGCAGAAACCACTGGCAACTGTTCTTGCTACCACTTTTCTACAGCAGACAGAGAACGCGAACCTCGGCTGGGCCGCGCCTGTACACCGTGACGGAGGCCCTGCACCTCGAGCTGTGCCGTCTCTCTCCCAGCTTCCGTCAGTAATCCGCATGGAATCCGAGCTTGGCGGTATTGGAGTGACTCCCGATATCCTTGAGTTCTTTTTGATTTGACCCAGAAAGCACCAGCTGTCAGTTTCAAGTGCTCCCATGAGTTTCAGGACATTGTGGTTAGTGAAATGAAGCCCAGCACCAACAACTGACACACAAAGCAACCTGTGGGAGAGGAGTGTACAGAAAACAATGGACATTTTGGCTACAGTATAATAATTAGGGCAGATAGCTATTCTGGTTTTCAAATGTTTGATTACAATTCTGTTGTACTGTTTCCATAAAAACAAAAACAAAAACAAAAAAAGCAGATGGGTTTCTACATGTGGAAGACCTAAGTTGAGGGGCTGGCGCTGTCACTTAATAGCTTCCACCTGCGGCGCCAGCATCCCATGTGGGCACCGGTTTGAGTCCCGGCTGCTCCACTTCCGATGCAGCTCTCGGCTGTGGCCTGGGAAAGCAGTGGAAGATGACCCAAGTCCTTGGGCCCCAGAGCCCACGTGGGAGAACCGAAGAAGCTCCTGGCTCCTGGCTTCGGATGGGTCCAGCTCTGGCCACTGCAGACATTTGGGGAGCGAAATAGCAGAGATGGAAGATCTCTCTATCTGTAACTCCGCCTCTCAAATAAATAAATGTTTTTTTAAAAAAGAATTATTTTATTTATTTGAAAGAGGAGTTAGAGAAGTAGAGCCAGAGAGAGAGAGAGGTCCTCCATTCTGCTGATTCACTCCCCAAATGACCACAACGGCCAGAGCTGAGCCAATCCAAAGCCAGGAGCCAGGAGCCCCTTCCAGGTCTCCCATGTGGGTGCGGGGGCCCAAGCACTTGGGCCATCTTCCACTGCTTTCCCAGGCTACAGCAGAGAGCTGGATCAGAAGAGAAGCAGCCGGGACTCGAACCAGTGCCCATATGGGATGCCAGCACTACAGGCAGCGGCTTTATCTCCTACACCACAGCACCAGCCCCAAATAAATGAATCTTTAAAAAAACGGGCCGGTGCCGCAGCTCACTAGGCTAATCCTCCACCTTGCGGCGCCAGCACACCGGGTTCTAGTCCTGGTTAGGGCTCCGGATTCTGTCCTGGTTGCCCCTCTTCCAGGCCAGCTCTCTGCTGTGGCCTGGGAGTGCAGTGGAGGATGGCCCAAGTGCTTGGGCCCTGCACCCCATGGGAGACCAGGAGAAGTACCTGGCTCCTGCCTTCAGATCAGCGCGGTGCGCCGGCCGCGGCGCGCTGGCCACGGCGGCCATTGGAGGGTGAACCAACGGCAAAGGAAGACCTTTCTCTCTGTCTCTCTCTCACTGTCCACTCTGCCTGTCCAAAAAATAAAAATAAAAAAAATAAAAGATCTAGGTTGGCCTCTTGGCTCTAGCCTGGTCCAGTCGCGACTATTGCAGGCATATGAGGAGTGAACTAACAAATGGGAACTGTCTCTCAAATACATAAATAAACTTAAAAAGATGCTTATTTCAGATAAAAAAACTTTTAATAATAAAGTAAAACTAATCACTTTTCATTAAAAACACTTTCCATGAACTGTTTTTTTTTAATTAGTCAATCTTATTTTTTTTTTAATAATTTATTTATTTTGAGAGGCAGAGTTACAGAGAGAGGGGGAGAGGGAGAGAAAGGTCCTCCATCCACTGTCTCACTCCCCAAATGGCCAGGGTGGCCAGAGTTGGGCCAACCCGAAGCCAGGAGTCAGGAGTTTCTTCCAGGTCTCCCACGTGGGTGCAGGGGCCCAAGGACTTGGGCCATCTTCTACTGCTTTCCCAGGCCAGAACAGAGAGCTAGGTCAGAAGAGGAGCAGCCGGGACGGGAACCAGCGCCCATTTGGGATG